TGTATATTACATTCTACTGATGTAGCGCTGCATGAGAGCTGCAGGTTCAGAGAGCAATAAGCAGTACAGCCTGTCAATGCACAGTTCAGAAATAAGAGATAAATGATACAGATCAGGCAGTATAGCTGTGCATGGTCCGGCTGTTGCGTCGTACAGCCGCGTCGTACAGGCTGTTTACACTAACAGCAGTTCCGTACAGCAATGAAAGCTGCAAAGCACAGTTTGATCGGTAGTGATAAACTGTTTCAAGTCTGCAGAATAGGTTTCCGTCATTGTTGCCGGCTGCATCATGCATGGGTGCTTATCAGCGCAATATCACGTACAGAAAATTCACTTTGTAAGCCACATGTCAACATGCAGAGAATGAAATCATATTCGGAAATATGGACTAGATAGGCGAAGGTATTCCACGCCTAACGTTGCAAAATCATTTAGTAATATCAATGTCATGTATTAAATCTTCATTATTTAACGTTAGGAATTTTTTTGCAAAATTTTTTCGAATGTTTCTCTCACAAAAAAAAAATAATGTGACGAAGAAACTTCGTTTGGCGGCCGCTTCTTAGAACATGGAAGACTGTTAAAATATGTAATTGCTGTTGGGACACTATCCCGAACTATACGGAATCGTTCGCGCTTGCCACATTACTATCAGCAAAAAGCAAGCAAAGCAATGCTCATCCTTAGGCCCAAATGAGAGCAAATACATGCTCTGTTAATGTTATGTCCCACTGCTGTAGGGGACCTTGGGGGCGACGACGGCCTGGCTACCGAGGGCGGAATTCTAAGACGGCTTCCAGTGTGGCCTGGGACTGCTTCGCCCGAAACGTTCACTAAGGACAACAAGATGGTTCTTTTGTCCTGATATATTCTTGATATTGTTGCTTGTTCTAACACGTTGGATATATGTTGTGAAAATATTCGGAAGAATGTATGATTGTACGTACGTAATAAAATCCGGTCAGGATGTCGAGACATTGCGGCCTTTAAATTTATGGAACAATTTATTGTGAGAGGTGGTCTCCGATGGTTCATCGACACGCTAGTAGTGGTAAAAGATAATAATTTACTAAGAAGAGTTTTCAGGCTAGAAAAAACATAGGTGGAACATAAGAAGGAGACACGCCATAGACGCCGCATGAATGAGCTATATCTCTAGGCTCCACCTATAATTTCCATCTTCATCTACTAATAAATTGATCGCTGCTTCAGCAATACTAATTATTTAGGATATCTTATTGATCAATTTGTATTCAGTATAAACAACGAAACACCCAACACTGTAGGGTTAGTTGCAATTAATTATCTGCGATGATATAATATGCAAATGCGCAGCAGAGTTCCGATGTTTTATTCGTGTTGCTAGTTTTCCTTATTTCTTTTCATTGTAATAGAAAAAGAACCAATTCATGTGTTTTCTATATAATGAAATATATAATATTTAGATTGAAGGGGCTTATTTGATTAATGTCTTGCATAAGTTGAGATGGTTTCGTTTAATAGCTAATCTGTTCTCGTACTAGAACGCGGCAACTAAATTACAGTTCCCGTTTTATAAGCAAAATTGATTTAGGTTCGATGCTCTTCTTTTAAGTAGTGAGTAGTTGACGTGAATTTAACTGCTTCTTATTTCATAGTTACTAATAATTTGCACTACAGACCGGCTCTTCTTCAGCGTATCCCATCCCTGTAGATATTTAGAAACATCTCATGTGTGCTAGCGATGGCACATCAATGCGCCATGGGGTGCGAAGTCTGATTATTGATGGGAGTTTTTCTGTAACATAATATTGGACATCAGCAGGTTATGTAAGTGTGGTAAACGCTAAACACTCCATCCATGAACAACTGATGCGTCACTTACAGTTTTTGCTAATCGCCTAAAAAAACATCCACAATTAGTCGTTAAAAAATGGGATACTCGGTCTTAATTTAAAATGATAATCCCCAACGATATCAAATAATCATCTATTGGAGATTTCATTTTATACTGATTGAGTTTATAAGAACAGAAAGTCCCCAGTACGCATTTAAGTAATGAATGATAACTTGATCTCTTTAAAACGTTACTCAACATATATCGACTAAAATATTTCAAGTTTCCGTGATTTGCAATCTGATTGAAAATCTCAAACTCCCATAAAATTTACGCGAGGAACTTAAAGCTGAGAGCTAAAAATTTCAAGCAAACAATTAATTCTGCTTCTGAATAACAATGTGCTCTCCAACAATTAAACATAAATGTCTACAATATGCGAATGTAATTCTTTTCTCTCAGTTCGGCGATTGTTAAAGATCAATGTCTGGACAAATAGCGCGCACTGTTGACTGTCGACCTGCGTCTCACAACGTCTCCCTAACATGGCAGCAAATTACATGGTCAACTTGGCTAATCTATTGACGTCATAACTTATTACTATTACTATGGTCAGTGTTTAGCCCTTAATTACTATTTCTTTGTCGAGGTGAAACGATACATCATTTTTTCTGGCTTTCTTGGTATTATATTTCTTATAGCGTTTAACTCCAGGAGTCGAAGAGTCAAGGTATTATAATATTTTGTTTAGCATGGTTCCTGAATAATTCATCAAAAGGTTTGAAAATTAAAATTAGCCAGGTCAAAATCGAGGTCTTTCTAAGTCTTTGAATTAATGTAAATTGAACATTTCGCTTACTCATCATATTTTAATAGTCAACAAACCATAGTAAAGAAAATTTGTATATCAATTGAAAAATCAACATTTTAGGTTTGATGCTTACTGTCGATCTGGCTTAAATTAAAGCAATTTTACTATTGAAAGTGGTCAAATTATGAGTTAATTACAAGAAATTATGTATTTTCCGAAATTAGGTCTTTTGAATAAATATTGTAACGGCTCTGTATATATTGAATGTCAAAACAATTCCTCACATTCGCCCACAGCGTACCTGAATTATCCGACGAGTCATCCTGTCACTGGGCCACAAAGAGTGTCAAGTTATTTCAGTTTTATGTTCATAAGAAAATCAACAGAAAAGAGTTATTGACTTCTTCTGTGGTAAGATGACTGTGAATTATACGTCAGGTGTAACTAATTGTGCGTGGTCATCGATTTTATATAAACAAAGTAAGTAATTAATTTGTGACATGTCAACCTGAGGACTTCATAAAACAAGGCAAGACTCTTGATTGTTCGATGTTTGCACCTGTCATTAATTATGCCTGACATTCTCGCATGCCAGCATTGCATTCAACTTAACCTCATCGTAAGCGGGGCGTCAGTTCAGCTCAACCTGCAGCAGTTATCGGACGCATGAAAAAGCTAATTTAGCCAGTAATAAAAAAATTTAGCCAGCAATAATATTCAGTGTATTTTATGTACGTTTCAACAGTTTAGCCCTCTCTTGACCAAATAATATGATTTAGTTGAAGCATTCGACGATTGCCGTTTTTCCAATGAATTCCGTTTATGTTCAGCCTATTTATATTTATTCCGAATTTTTGACATAATAATGCAGTAAAACATAAAAATTATAAAAATAACAATTAAGTCTTAAAAATAAAGTAACTAGCAGTAGCTTGTAGCTTCCTTTTATTTATAATTTCCCAAACTTCAGTGTTAAATACGAATAAATAAGCGCAAAATGCGGGAAAAATCTGCTAGCTGTGATCAGCTTCCTCATTTAATCATACATTCAATTATTAGTGTTCGTTATGGGGACCGGCTACCCTAAAATTTTCAATTTTGGCGTTTTCCGATTTTTGTGCTCATCTGAAAGCTGGAATTCTGCTCTTTCCAATGGTACCACTGCCATCGCTGTACGCCAATATTTACGTTCATGACGTCTCTTTAAAGGGAAGCGGGTGGCAGAGTTCTTTAACTAATTAGATATAAAGTAATTAGCTGCTGAAATCTTTGAATATAGTTTCTAATTGAGTTGTGCTGCAGTTACATGCTTAGTCTCATCTTAAAGCTGACATTCTGAGCTTTCCAACGATACTACTGCGATCCATGTACGGCAATATTGACGCAGATGGCCGGGCTTTAATGGGGGGCGGGGGGTGGAGTTCCTTCAGTAAATAGACCTAAGAAAATTAGAGCGGCAAGACTACATATATTGGTGTATCTGGCATCTGAGCTCAGTCACCCTCCTAACTTTGTACGGAGAGGTGCGCTATAAGTTGCTGCTAGCATCCTTGAGTGGATTAAGCTACAGAAGGCTGTAGTTTGGTATCCATGCTACATTGAGTGCCTATTTCGAGGCGCGCGGGACTTTGTCGCGCAGTCCTGAAAAGTTCAACTTATTGTCACGGAAAACCTATCTCCTCCTACAGTTTTCAAGCTACAGCAATGAGACACATACCATTCGACTCGCAAAGACCATACCTATCGATTTGAACATCACTTTTTTAAATTTCTGTCTGGTTCGTTTTTTATATGGGGGAGAAGGGGAGGGGGGAAAATGAGAAAAATTGGAAAAACGCGCATAAAAAAACTATGGGAAAATGAAAAAACCCATGTTTGAATCGACAGGTATGGTCTTTACGAATAGAATGATACGTGTCTCGATGTTGTAGGATGATATTTGTAGGAGGAGATAGATTTTCTAAAGTACCCCTTCTTAGCCGTTTTCTATGAATTTCACGTTTTCTATCAATTTTTTCGAAAAACTTATACCAGCAAAATGTTCTTATTTTTACATTTTACGTATGTATGTGAAGTTTCATGATGATCGGATAATAACTGTAGAAGTTTTTCCGGAGGGTAGCCGGTACCCTTAAGTCACAATAGTCAATCATTTATAATTTTCGTGCCTACAAGTTAGCCCGGCGTTGCCAAGGAAAGATAGTCCTTGCAATTAAGTAACCCTCTAAATCCTATGATCTTTAATCAGAACCCAGTTCATCATTTGGAAAATGAAAAACCGTAATTGAAGAAAGACCCAACCAAACACACATTTATCAAGGAGAGGTGGTCTATAAAAACTTTAATAAATATTTATACAATATTTCCGGAAAAATGGTTAATCCTGGCATGGCGCAGCTGGTGCAGGTGGTTTGCTCAGTCGCCGCTACCAAGACCTTGAAGCACATCCAGCTGGTGGCGCTGTCAGGTACAGAAAATGAAAAAAAAATCCATTACGTTTGAACTCTCCTATTCCAACGTATCGTGGTATAATTTTATTAGCATTGAGTCTACATAAGATTCTTCTAGCAAGCAGTATGTTCTGAAAATTTTTCGTTCTCGCTAGCGTTCACAATGAGTTCTGCCTAACTTTACCTTGTCCGATCAAAATGAGAATGTGGAATGAGAACATTCCACATCTCATGCCTGTGTAGTTTTTATAAATGGCTTTTTAATTTCGATTTCGGCATTTTCACTGAAGCCTCGTACATACTGTATGCGTATGTTAATTACTAATTAAGTACATTTTTGCTGCAGGTCAATCAAGGGAAAATGTGGAATTTGCTCACCATCTGTCAAGAAGCTGCTGCTGTGAGACAAACTTCCTGTTCCCCATCACCTTCGCATATAATGCATCGTCACCCCCATACACGGAATCGTTAGTTTCCAGTTATAAAACTTAGGAGCAGAGATTTTTCAGCATAGTAGACAGCGTTAATAGATATATGTTTGAAAAATATTCCGCCCAACAAAGCATTTCGTTCTCAATTTATTCTTTGTTCGTCCTCAGCGGATATTAAATTAAATGATTTCTTCTTGTAGTGGAGCCACGCACTGCGATCTTTGGACCTCAGACTCTCTCTTCGTCGCCATTCTGAAGACACCTGACGACGCCAAGCTCGTCAACGTAATATAAGAAAGATTTTCAACAAGAATCTTCTTAACATTATGCCTAAATTTACTACATAGATTTATGTTATCAACCTCATGTCGCTAATCCTGAGACATTAAAGATTACATTTATCAATGAGATTCGCTCCTTATAGGAAGGAAATAAAATAATTGCTCATACTACTTCAATTAGGTCATCTTTTGATGCACATTCTAAATGTGAGTCAAAGAAACTTCATAGCTTTATTGACAATAATTTGATTACTTTATACGGCAGATCTACCTCAAAACTCCAACAACCAAATTATCTTGGATTTTCTTCGTCGACTCACAAGTTTTCCCAGCCATGATGTATCAATTTCAAGAAGCAATTGACAACAAGGTCAGTAAATCAAATGAGAATTGGAAATTTAAAAATCACATAATGCATATGTCATTTCTGACATTCACTAATCTTACTTCAACAGGTTATTTTCATTAAGGTAAACGGAAGTGGTCTGTCAGCTTGGGATGCGTACCGAGCTAGTGCCGCGGTACCGGCAGTGTACCAGTACCTGACTGCCGTGTCGGTACCTCCTCTTCGGCAGCAGCTGGACGTGTTGAGACGGGAGCCCTGGTCCAGGCGTACCAACCTAACCGGGCTCGTCGTACGGTGCAGTGTTCTCGATGTAAGAAATAATAAACAATGTGCATCACAAAGCTAACGTTGCGACTAGTTTTTATTGAAATTAATATCATTTTTATCTAATTTATCTAAATTGATATCATTTTTGAATATTCTTTGTCTTTCAATGATTTTCAAATAATTCTTCTTATGATCGATGAGTTTCAACACTCATGAATTTTTCATATATCACTGCGTGGTATGACAATCACAATGAAAAATAAAGATGTTCTAATAAATTAATGAAAATTCCCACATTTAGTTTAGAAAATTCATGCCAAAAACTGGTATTAGATGAGAATTTTTATGGAAATTTTTAAGTGTCTCACGTGTTCAGTATGAGCCGTACTCGGTGTTGGAGGAGCGAGCTGACGGTACAGTCGCCATTACTGGCCTGGTCGGTGACATCCTCGTCATCCTTGAAGGAGCTCTACGTGTGAAGTAAGTCTTCAACCCTCATCCCGTTTGGGCTTACGTTAAAATTTTGCCATCTGATATCTAATTTATCTCGAGTAATTTCCTAATAAATATCATAATATGTTCACACGAAGTCAAGAATATGATTGGTCTTGATCATTGTGAAGAAGCTCTCCATGTGAGGTAAGTCTTCAACGCTCATCCCGTTTGGGCTTACGTTACAATTTTCTAATCTGATCTTTAATTTTAATTTATCTCGAGTAATTTCCTAATTTATATGTTCACACGAAGTCAAGAATATGATGGGTCGTGATCATTGTTTGATTGAGGTTACATTATGATACATTTGTGTTAATTATAGATTTCTAGTCGAAAATATCGCTGGTAATTTGCCTTGTCATTTATATTATAAATCACTGAACTGGATGCGAAGTCAATTAATAACGAGTTGAAATGCAATTAAAAACGCTGGACTATTTCAATAAACCGAATTCCGTTAAATAAATATAATCTGCGCTATATTTGCTTGAAATTTCAGGAATGTTGAATGTTAATGGTTAGGTATCAGAAATTATAAAATTGATTAATAATAATTGATATCATGACAGATTCGAGTGCAGGAAGCCACGTGACAACAAATGGGGCTCAACGATGACCCTGGGAGGGGACTGGGAGGGCGTCTTGGGAGACGTGTACCATAACAGAGCTGATCTCGCCTTGCCCTTCTTTTACCCTAATGTTGATCGCGCCAAAGCATTCGACATTTCTTATCCTTTTGGGGAAGACTGGTAATTTGGTAAATGTGGAACAGTTTTAGGTTTGGCTGATTCGGTGCAATGCTCGTCAGCGAATGTTTTATTTACATCATCAGGATTGAAGTGCAGAAGGTAATTTCGATATGATAATAACTCTTCTAATATTTCATGCTGTGGGAAGGAAAAATATTCAAGTTATGTTCTTTACATACAGGTTCTGACATAAAGTAACCTAAAAATTGATCATCGTAGGCCCTATCTTACACTGAAAATTTTTGCAGATTATAAGAAAAACTTGGACAGTAAAAGTCCCGTTAAAACACCATCTATATGTATATTGAAGAAAAATTTGTACTCCAGAGGAAACGATAATATTCTCAATAATCCGTTCTCATAATTTATTGCTTGTATCCTGTGTCATGAGAACATCGTTTAAAAATTGCACGGTCTTGTTCTATTCGCAAGGAACACTTTATCGAAGGTATTTGTAACGTGATCATATTAACTGAGGACTCTCAGTCAATTACGAAGACAATGACGACAATAAACTATGAACTTCTGACCTTCACTGAAGTGTTATTGGTCTAGGTTCGTCTTGGTAATGCGGAGGCCCGGAGCTCTAGACGGTTCCGGCAACTACACCCGCGAGTTGTCGACGACGACTTGGCTGGCGGTGGCCATCCTCTTCGGTGTGTCTGTCGTCACGCTCAACATACTACAGAAACTTACTGCAAGCTCTCCCGAGCACTCCTGGGGGAAGAACTTATTCGTAAATTTCAGAGCATTTTGCAACATGGGTAAGCCGGTTGGGGAAACCAAAACTCATCTATTACAATCACAGAGTATTTATCTAGTTGTTGTTACATCTAAGGCTTTGATTTCTTTCGACTGTAAACCATGCCAATTAGCTTGTAAATGAATTTAATAAACACCAGTTGTTGAACAATGATACACGAATGAATTTAATCAATAGTCGCCTGAAAATTTCCAGAAAATTACATTTATATCTTTATTAGAATTTTTCCCTACAGTGCGTTATTCTCTTCACAATAGTTGGCACTAATTATTAAATTTTAAAATGGCGTGGATTTCTCATAATTTTCCCAGGTTGGGACTACGTGGAACCTCAACTGGCGTCCTTCAGGACGTGGGTGCTGACGCTGCTGCTGACGGTGATGGTGCTGCACGTGTCCTACACATCATCACTGCTCACCATGCTGACCAGCAACACCATCGTCCTGCCATTCACTGATCTCCAGGGCCTCTACAAAGCAAGGAACGACTACACCCTCGGATTTGAACCTGAATCCATTCTATTCGGACTTTTCAGTGTGGGTCATGTAAAAAGTGGAAGAAAAGTAATTTATTTCTGAAAGTAGAAGAATATTCATGGTTTGATTCACTCAGTTGGTAGTTTTATTTTCAATGTATGCAACAATCTACTATAATTTTTTTTAATTTATCGTCCAAATATGAAAGCAAGAATTAATGCCAGATTTGTTTTTAGCCTTGCTGCATGGATATAAAACTCACCTATACCTATGTATAAACTACGTGGTTACGATTTTATCGTTGCAAAATTATGCTGTTCAACGTGGGTAAAATTAGGATTTCCGCTGGCCGCGTTCTAATTGACTTAGTACAGCACATAATAATTCGAAACTATAGAGTAGAAAGAACTGGACCATTTCGCTTAGACCTCTTTCATTGGTTCCTTATTCTATTATTTCTGTACATTATTATTATTTTTTCCAGAGAGCTAACTCAGGAATTTATAAGGACATACAGGACAACATGGTGTCTCGTCATCCAGAGTTTCTGGAGGAAATTTCGGCTGGACTCAAACGAGTGGCCAACAACCCAAAACACGTTTTCCTTATGCCCATATTATTGGTACCTAAAAAGGTACTTGTTTCTAAAACGATAACTCATCCATAAGTTCCAACCAAAAGAACTATGTCATTTGAAGTTTTTTCGTTAGTTATACATGCATGACAACATACTCATGGGTCACTTCTACCATCAATGAATATTTTTAGTATGCTTTTCAAAATAAAACATGTATTTTGAACGAAACGAACTAATTCTTATTGGTCCATTACGCATTTTGTTTGTGAGTGCAGGATTGCGCGCTTTTCCCGTTACCGAGTAAGGAATACGTCGTCCAAACGTCGATTCTCATCCAGAAGGACTCGCCTGTCACGCCGTACATTAACAACATGTGAGTCCTTATAGCTACATGTTTGTAAATAAAATTATTGTTTTGAATGTTCGCATACGTCCAATATCATAAACTATGTTTTCGTCAAATTTTTAGGTAGCTTCCTATTTCCTAAATTTCATCAATCATTTGAAGTTTTCATTTTCTCTTCAATCGAGGAGATTCTCTTGAACCATAACGTCCGGTATAGTCTATTGTTTCCTGAAATTTGCACTTATCCAGCAAGAATTATTTTCTTCAATTATCTTAATATGTGCAGGTAATTATTTGCCCAGTGGTTACAGTTCAGAGTACCAAGCTTGGAGCAGTGCATGAGGCGCGGGTTCGATCCCAGCTCTGTGCGCCAGTGTCTGGTCAGAATCGGCGAGGAGGCCGGGCGGATAAGCAAAGCAAAATTGATGCAGTGAGTTGCGTGTTCGAGACCGCAACAAGCTGTGAATTTTTTGCGATGTTAAGAATCAGCGACAGGCCTACGGCCTAATAAACGCTGAAACCGCTATTATCTATTATATTATTACTTTTCTGTTTTTTTCAGGCTCAAGAAAATGCACGAACAAGGCTTGCTCCAACGCTTTCTTCGTAAGTGGGCGCTGCAGGAGGCTTCGACCATGAAGTACTGCAGCGACTTGCCTACCGAACCTTTGGGACTTGAACAAACCTACACCGCCTTCCTGATGCTCCTCATGGGCGCCGCAACTTCTGTCGTCCTGCTATTTCTAGAAATTATATGCAGAAAATTCCTGCAGTATTTACCTTTGGCATTTAGTACTACATTACCACATTAAAATGTATTTTTTTTTTAATCCGAAAGAAACATGAACTGAATCTTTACCTATCAAATTATGTCTCATCAATATATTTGAATGGTATTAATTTTTCATCGGATTTTTTACTGAAATTTCATGAACATATTTTCTGGCACAAAGTTTTCAATAATAGAGAACAGGTTATTATCTTTGAATTAAATTCGTACGATTTAAATCGGTTATCATCATTTCAGCTCACATTATCAGTCTAGACTCTGGAGTATCTCGAGAACCTTTTCTAATGACAAAAATTTACAACCTATGCGAGAATAAATTAGTGCTATAGGCCGCATGAGAAACATCAAACAGAACGTCCATTGTGCTAGCAGCCGTGGCAGGGTCTAACCTGTTGCTGTGTACAAACAAAGGTATTCATTATACTTTTTTTGTATCAATTTAAACTGTTCAGTAAGTAATGTCTTCAATTCCACACGCTCTGATAATTTTTAGCGCATTTTCTCATTTATGGAAAAAATGCACTATTGTGCTCGCCATGTCCGTCCGTCCGTCTGTCTGTCTGTCTGTCCGTCTGTCCGTCTGTCTGTCCGTGACCTCAAGTTTTCGTCGATGAGAAAATGCGCTCTCTGTCACTCACTGCAGTGAGTACTGAGTTATATTTTTTTTGAAAATGCATCCAACGATGAAGACATTAATCTAAAGGTGTCTTAAGGATCTTGAATCTCTTGTTATGTCTCGCTCTTTTCCAGTGTTTTTTTTTCTATTTACGTTCCTACTCTGGTGGTTTGTGGGAAACTTACGTATTTTTTAGATGTTTCGGTATAGGATTTAGACCTATAGGATACCTTTTGTTTGTATCGATAGGATACTTTTGTTTTTGTATACTAAATCCCATACACAAAACATATCAATACACATATTTTGTTGTACCTTGCATACGATGCCACTAGGAATCCTTGCGCTAGGCCTGCCGAATCATCGTGACGTTTATTGACCAAGCTCTACATCGTGCAATATCGTGTTTCAGTTTTGGTTCATTGGTGAAGTTTGAAATGAGTTGCTGGATAGTATGCTCCAGAGCTTAAGCCTTATGTTAGCATATGCTTGAAGGGTTTATGTCACCAGCCACGTTGAATTGGCCCAAGCACCTTGGATACTCGAGTGCTCGAGCATCGCGTCTGGCCTGGTGGTGCGTGCAAGACACTGCGAGTTTTTCTGCTATTGATGGAGTAATTTTTTTTGTTGTTCTACGTTGACGGTAAAATCACGTATTTGTTACACTTTTGACTAAACTGGTCTCAATTCGACACAAAGTATCGTCATTTGAATGCCGATTGGGTGATGGGGTTTGTGCCTTTTAGGATTTGCTTTCAAATATGAATACAAAATATTGCTAGTTGGTCTTCATTTTATTATATTTGTTACTGAATTTAATACGAGATTTACAGGACGCAACTTGTTGATTGCTGGATACTTATTCTACAATGGACTACGGGAAACTAAATATTCTAAAGACATCTACATCTGGTTTTTAATATCTTATCTACACAAGTCCAGTGTCGTATTATCAGTTCAAGGGTATTAATTCAACTGATTTATTTTAACTAAACTTTAAACATAGAAGAAATATCTTTAATTGTCAATCGACATTGACCGCTCATTCATCTCTGTGTTAAAGTTTCTGTGATTACTGCCCCTTAAAAATGGAAAAAAATCTTACATTGATAGAAATTCATATTCAGATGAAATCATATATATCTTTGATTCGTTAAGAGCTGCATTGATGTGAAGCATAGTTAATGTTTCGACGTTATTGACACCAACTAATCCAAGAATAGGTTTCTAATAAAATCTGCCAACGGCAGACGTGAAATCTTGGTTCAATATATTAGCTTCGTCGACGATCGTTAGTCTGTTCATGTGTCAGCCCGGCCCTGGACTAGAAACAAAAGCCTTCCTTGGACTGCGCCGCTATCCAAAGTCTGTAGGCCGCGACTCGAGTGTTGACGGACGGCGCCACGTCGTCCGTGCATCCTATGCCGAAACTCACAATCCCTACCTGGGAGAATTCGTCAGGGGTAGGTGGTTTATCCACATTGATTATTTGTTGTTTACAACATTTCTTTTATTCTAGATAGCAGATTTGATAAATTCTTGCGGAATTTCTCAACCTGTAGAAGCAATTGAGGTCAAAGGTGGAGTAACTATAAGTTATTAATACTGGATTGCTGCACATAAATAAATGGTTGAAGTCCAGAGCATGCTCTTTATTATCAATTTTCTTATTGTTTTTTTTATAATAAACCGAACAAAGTTCCTTACTGTTATTGGGAGATCATAAAGCAGGTTACCGAATGACATTTTGCTGGCATACAAGGTACGTCTCGAATATTCAATATTCATTCTCAAGCAGGTGAAGAGTTTTACAACACTTGAAATGTGAAATTTGGAAACTTTAGATGTACATAAGTACATGCAAAAGGTATGTACCTATGTCATACCTGCTAGAAAGACATCGGTTTGACCGGCATGACATTGAGCTCCACTCTCACATGCCTTCTGTTAAACGAAGGACCTTATATAATCATATGCGGGAGGCCAACAACGAGACCATCACCCGTGCCACGTTGGAGGCCTGCACCAGCATCGTCATGCGGTGCCCCGACACGAGACTGTCGATAGCGGAGGCTCTCATCATCAAGGACGAGTCTTCTGCTATCAATTTGTAAACCGCCAGATTTGTCAGGACTTTGAAATTCTTCTCGGAGTAATTTAAGCTTACATTTCAAACCTATCTAAGATACCCTTTGTATCTACTTATGTCTACTTATGTGTATACTAAGCTTTGTAAAACTCTTCACCTACTTGAGAATGAATAATAATATTCGAAACGTCATAATCCAGTAAAAATATCATTTGGAAACACTCTTTTCGATCTTCCAACAGAAGCAAGAAAATTTTTTCGGCTTATTAAAAATACAATAAGAAAATTGTTAATAAAAAGCATGCTCCGGTCTTCACTCAAACTTACATAAATGAAAAAATCTGCCTAACTACACAAATAAATAAATGGATACACGTTTTTTAACTTTGTAGAAATTCCAACCTGCATATTTAATAACTTCATATCTATTGCAGATTTCAATGAGCATCCGCGGGGCCGTTATCATTTTTTTAAAACCACTAACACTTTATTTATTTTAATTCACTCATAATTTCTTGCATAAAGTAGGCTTTGCAGGAAACCGCGTCCATTAAGAACATTATTAGAAATTATGTTACCTATATTTTTTATCTTTGTTTTTATCTTTTTTATCTTTTTTTTATCTTATATCTTTATATCTAAATTATCAGAACTTCAAAAACAGACTAGACGAAGCTATGCAGGAGCATATGTTCAGTCTTAAAATGCCTAGCAAATTACGGACCANTCGGGTTCCAAAAGCCGGATCCCTTGTGAATCAAGTCACGAAAAGTTCAAGAATCGGCAACAGGCCATGGGCCTATTTCTTCAGCGCCGACACTTCTATTCTATCTTCTCGGTCGACAACGAGCGGATCTATTTCAGCTCAATATAACAGTTTATATCATGTAACTCATTGTTATTTTGTTGTTCTAAATGATCAGAACTTCGAAACACAAATTTTAATAGATTATAAGATTTAACCAAATATCGATAGATAATACGATAATGTAATGTACATTAAAGCTACCTGCTCGTAGCGGCCGGTGTTGCCCCTCACGACGACAGGTCCTCCGGAGTCGCCTTGGCAGGACTCCTGTAGGAACCCTCGCGTGCAAACCTGCGTAGTAGCATTCAAGTGTATTTAATAATACGATAACTACGATACATGATGAGAGAAGTTTAATAATACGATAACTACGATACATGATGAGAGAAGTTCAATAATATGATAACTACGATACATGATGAGAGAAGTGAGAAATAATACGATAACTACGATACATGATGAGAGAAGTTCAATAATACGATAACTACGATACATGATGAGAGAAGTTCAATAATATGATAACTACGATACATGATGAGAGAAGTGAGTAATAATACGATAACTACGATACATGATGAGAGAAGTTTAATAATACGATAACTACGATACATGATGAGAGAAGTTCAATAATATGATAACTACGATACATGATGAGAGAAGTGAGAAATAATACGATAACTACGATACATGATGAGAGAAGTTCAATAATACGATAACTACGATACATGATGAGAGAAGTTCAATAATATGATAACTACGATACATGATGAGAGAAGTTCAATAATACGATAACTACGATACATGATGAGAGAAGATTAATAATACTATAACTACGATACATGGTGAGAGAAACATAATTTCAGATGGAATAGTTTTAGATATCAATCGAAAATTGGTTTAATTTTTCTTATTTGCATTTTTATTACAGGAATTTTGTTTTCTTTCATGGAAGAAAATAACCACTGTGGAGATAAAATATGGTATAAAACACATGAAAATAAATATACGGAGAATTTTAGTTACTGTTTAACAAGCTTCAAATAATTTTTCAGAAGGGAACAATTTTTCGGGTCATACTATAAAAAGAAATAGAATATTTTTTTATAGAAATAAATTGAACTAGTATAACTTGGTTATACTGGTTCAATTTTAATTTGAAGCAATACATTGAATACATTCACTCATAAAACAACCTGAGACTCCGGGTTAACATGAATTTGCCAAGCAAGGTAGGCAGCCTGGCACTCCCACCCTTGCACTATCGTTACTGCTGCCTTCTTCAACACGTGCGCCAAGTCAGGCTCTGTTAACGGAAGAGGGAGCCAAAATGGTTCTTTTTAGCACTAATTTTTGTACAGAATGAAGAAAAGTTCTTTGTCTAATGGTAGAAAGGAATTGTATCGAATTCAAACATTGCTAAGTTTCAGATTCCTCATAATTGTGAGTTTTCAGCAGCCATGTTGTTCATATCCATGAGTGTGGATTTGGTGCAGGAATTATCATATAACATAAAATATAATTTCTACTTTTTATTGCCGGGTAAATTGCTCACTGCCGTTATTCGTGAGCGCGGTTACTCCGAACCCAGTGACGACGCTCTCGCGGTTGTCGTATATTGTATCCGGCGCTGCTAGACACACGGGAGTGGCTCGAGATGTTATTTTGATATCACGCGCCAGACGTATGATTGCAATGTCATTCTGCACATGCGGCTGAAAAAACGTCAAAACAAATGTAGCATACACATTTTTGTGATTTTTGGGTGACGAGAGACAGCTCGGATTTTATTTTAATCTTTAGAATGATCATTGAAGGAGTTTGAAATCCTATATTGTCGATAAACTCAAATAAATGCCAAAAAATCAGTTAAATAATAATTTCACATGAGTTAGGACTTAAAAACCTTCAGGTAGAAATGGCCAAAAATGTGCAAGCTTCTGATTAAATACTTTTAATGGTATAAAAAAATCTAAATTATTCCTCACCGCAAACTTGTACTCAGGATGCAAAATTATTTTAGCAGCGGGAGCCTTTTGAACGTAGGTGTCGTTGAAGTCATCGAGAGAGTGCAAGCCAGCAACAACAGCAACGAACCTCAAAGGGCTGTTAAAATATTTTTGACTCAAAATTTTGCGATTGAAATGGTAAAAAGCAAGTTTTAAACTTTTCGGTAAATTCTTGAGCATTATAAGCAGTGTTAAATTAGCTTACGTAATAAGTATGAGATAGACGATTCTTTATTTACATCTATTTTGAGAAAGAAAATTTTTGAAATTCATTATTAAACTTAAGATCGGTCAAAATTTCACTTAAAAGGTTGACACAAGTTTGTGTTTCAACAGAATAATCTGATACAATTATGGGAATATAATGTCGGCTATAACAATTTTCTGACCTCCACGAATGCTTCTTGAAGCAGTGAGCTGCAGTGAGAACGTGCCTGGAGTTAATTATCGAGCCACCGCAAAGATCATACATTTCATCCGAAATTTTACTGATGATATACGTCTGGCAGGGCGGAAACTCTTATCAATTTACAACAAGTTTCAGCCACATTAATTTGTATTACAAGAGTAAGGTTCATGCAAAACCACGTGCACCAAGATGATGCACGTCTTTGAATTCAATTTGAAATTTGCATTGTTAGAATTTTTTACTATTATTTAAAAAAGAGTTTGTTGTGCAAATCCTGATAAATGCGACTGTTATTTCCACTCACCTGCCAAGGGAACTCCCCCGGTAAGGCGTCATGTCCCCCGACGATGCGAGTCGTGAAGTTCCCCGAGGCTGTGACCTCAGACACGCCGCAGTCTGGAGGTGTATAAAAAATTATATAAAAGAGCTAATAAATATAATATATTCATTCCGTGATACTTGCTATGCTGACGAGTCTTTGATTTAGAATCATTTTATTTACTGTCAAGTAGCAACAAACCCCCGACATAGTCGGGGGTTATAGCTAATTCTTGTTCATGATTGACGTAGTAGCTTTGAAAAAGTCGTCTTCCAGTATTCCGCAGTTATGAATTATCAGAAAAATATGTCTCGTACGTTTAATTTAATCTATATTAAAAACATTGTAATACTTCTAGGATCACATTAGTGAGTATTCGTTTTTTATATGCATTCTGATTTGCATTTATTGATAAAATGTAAACTTGTTCCGAATGCTGTATTAATCCTAAATTTCTTTGTGGGCGGAAAAAAGTAAATCAATGACTGTCGAAAATCTTTTAGATTGTGTGAATCTTCAATAGCTTGATTCGCTCCATAAGCATTCGTGGGGATTTTGTTGGGATTGACAGTAGCTAAATCAATGAAGTTTATAGTGTATTGACATTTATAATATTGCTTTGGTATGGTGATATTATACATAAGAACCATGAGCCTTTATTACATTACAAATATATAAAAATATAAGGGGCAACATACAAAAAATATCAATATACAACATAGAATAACAACATACAACACACAGCATACAACATACAGTACACAACATACAATAACAATATACAACATACAACAACTATCTACGAAATAGAGGAGCAATTCAACACGTACTTAGAGGACAAATTTGCGTAGAGTTTTCGGCAGTTTCTGGCACATTTGTTTTTCCCCCAGATTCTGTACCTGAAAACGAAAAAAAAACACTGTTTCATTTGCCCTAAATTAGGTTTTATTCATTCATTGCATTCATTGTTGTAAGAATTAATTTGGAAATTAGTCATCTTAATCTAATCCTGAGCTGAAATTTCTGTACAAAAACAGTTTATCAGCTAGGTACGGTTTCTATTGAATAAAATTAATGTGCTTGAATTACGCAGGCTTTCAGGGTATTGCTAATACAAAAAAAAAAGATTTTCGTAAATACTTGTATCTTCTACAATATGTTGTTTGCTCCAAATTAACAATTTGTCTCGTTGTTTAATTGCTTGAATTCTTTGTTTAAATATAACGAGTTTAACTCACTCTCGACGATGAAGACACATGCAATGAAAGTCATCGAAGACTCAGACTTCGGTGATGGCGGCCTGGCAATGGTGAGCATTTTCTCTGGGCCACACAAGCTGTTCAAATAAACATCAAACTAAACAACTCCAACCGCGTACGTTGGAACATCTGCTGTCATATATTGTCATTAATACTCTTAGACAGACCTTGGTATATTACCGGGCATGTACTAGTATGATATGAAATTATTATGATAATTTGTCCAATTTTTTAGCGCATTTTCTCATTTATGGAAAAATGCGCTATTGTGCTCGCCATGTCCGTCTGTCTGTCTGTCCGTCCGTCTGTCCGTCCGTCCGTGACCTCAAGTTTTCGTCGATGAGAAAACGCGCTCTCTGTCACTCATTGCAGTGAGTACTGAGTTATATTTTTTATAGACTGGCATTTGACTTTGGATTCGTGCTCATATGCGGCAATCATTTAATTATTAGACTCATTACAGTTTTTTAATACTGTTCTCTATTGCTTATTTGACTTTGTAATAGGTTTATATTTTCATGTATGATCATATTGTGACTTATGCTTACAAATTGTTATATTTAGTGGAAGCGATGTTTTATTTCTAAAATAAAATATCGTAACTTAAATTTAAAATTTTAAATGATCTGAATAAAAACCCATCGAAACGTACGAAAGTAAATGCTTCATTCTGCAGACAAAAAAAAACGTTGTTCACAATTGAAGTGCAGAAGAAACATTCGGTATCACAGATACTCACATGGTCGTGGAGGCGGGCGACTCATGCACATCAACGCTGTCCCGTACACACGACGCAGACTTCCCTGTCACCTTTACGGTCGGTACGTCGGGGCACTCTACGGACGTTTTCATACGTCGACCGGTCTGCGTAAAAACGCGTTGAATGAAATCTGATGAATCTTTCCAGAACTTCGTTTAATACTGGAATTGTCAATGCAAGAATTTTTATTCATTGAAATTCATGATATTATTCAGCGAGAATGATATCTGTCTGTAAAATTACGGTCTCTAGGATTTTGAAATTTATTTCGATCATAAAATTTTGATTTGAATAAAATTTTTACCTACAAATACTAGAGAAGTGAAAAAGTTTTGGTAAAACTTGATTGATTAATAATTTTGCATTCAATATCAATTTCACGTTAAGATCGGTTGTTGAATATTCTGTAATTAGAATTAAATTAAGTTAAGGAAAAAATCAACGCTATTTATACCTTTTATGAAGTTCTAGCAACGAACTATTAATTATTTCTAATGAATTTTCTCAGTAACTTCTTAAACGTCCAATTTTGCAATTACCCTCACGCTGTACAAACAAGAAGAAGATCTCATTCCGAAGTTGATCCGGTATCGTCCGATGCTTGGTGCTTCAATGTTGCCTCCACATTTAGGTGCTGAAAAAACGTAAAACTAATATTAACAATATTGTAATCAATATTTTCTTGAAGCTATAAGATTAATTGTATACAACCTCATTCATGGAAAACACCAGCCAATGATTGAGTTAGTCGGTTTTCTGATATATGCCAGATCACATCAATTCGAAATGATGTTAGCAAAAGAGCAGGAAAAAACAATAATTGTTCTAGTGGAGCAAATTATTTAAATTAAAGTACATGGTACACAAAAAGTGAATTTCGTAATAGTCAGGATGACTCAAACTGTACGCCTGACTATCAAACTATTTTGGAAACTGATCTCTGATCAGAAAAACTTTAATTGCAATAACGAAGCGAACTCTACTTTTCTATACCTGCTGTGTGGACAGAAATATTTTAACTCTTCGTACTATTTCATCTTCTCAACTCTAGTAATTTATTTTCATCCCGCCGTTTAGCATTAATCGTTATTTCTTACCCAGTAGACCGCCTTCCGTTTCTTGCACATGGGGAACTTGCTGTAGTGAAACTGCAAGCTGACTATCGACAGGAAACTGAGCCTCGTAAAGACTCCAAAAAAGCCTCAAATATTCCTGATTTGTGCGCAACCCATCCCCGAAATTTCGAGCAATCATATTTATGGGCGAAGAAGTAAACTTTAAGGACTGTAATCCGACAGCGGAATCAACTACCAGTGCTGCCGCCAGCATGAAAGCAATTAGGGCATCAGCCATGACCGCGGTTTTCTCTGTAATCCTTGAAAAAACTCTGTAACTTCTGTGAATATTATATTGAGAATATATAGAATAAGGTTTCATCAAACCTTATTCAAAGAAAAATTTCCTTTTATTATCGATTCCTCTCTTTAAAACATCGAATAACCGAAAATTACTAACATGACAATTAATGATTGAAACATCTTTCCTAAAGTTTTGCAACCCAGTCGTACAAATTCATTTTTAGGACATAATTGACACGAAACATGAAATTCAAACCTTTTCAATAACACTTTCGCATCAAAATTGTGGTTAAATAATCTAATAACTGAATTTCTGTAAGTATGTTCATCGCAATGCGACAATAATGGATTGAGGAGTAACATCCAGTCAAGAGAACCACGGCAGCAGAATAACTGATTCATGCTCATGTCGATAGCGGAGGTTGACGGTATCGCGTTAGCACAGGTGCGGGCTCCCTGCTTGTTCAGGTGTGACGCCATTCTTCGGAAGACGAGAGTTTCGGGTGAGTTTCCGAGTGAAAATGTATCATATGGAACTAAATTCTTTCCACCTACTGATCGAGGAGACTGGAAAAGGACTGTAGTACTTTTCTTTCCGATGTTATAACTTGTAGCTAAATATAAACAAGACACAATTCCAGTTATTGTGGATATGAATTTAAATGCTGTTTTTCATTCTATATATCCGACTATAAAATCTACGGATAGAAGTAAATAATAAATATTTATCCGATAATTAGGGAATGAGTCACAGATTTTCATTTAAGAAATTTTTTGAAGCATCGTTGTAGTAGAAAAAACTATGACTCCAAAGTTGCACAGAACATAAATATTTGTTTCACACGAAAAATTGACCTGGAAGATTTGGGCAAGGAAAGATTCATATGCGCTTGAATGTTGTTGACCACGGTAGGAAACTTGTTCACCACTTGTAGCCAACACTCCTGAACTTGGAGCACAACCGCTTAGTTGCCCGGTTGCACACGACTCATTTGTTTACCCATGATACTTGATTGCCTTTAGCACGCGACTGACCGTATAAACCCTATTAATTACAGCACCCGGGACTACAATCAATGTCATGTACGGCAGGGTGGCCCAGTGGTTAAAGTTCAGAGTACCAAGATATTGGCGCAGAGAGGCGCGGGTTCGATCCCAGCTCTGTGCGCCAGTTTCTGGTCAGAATCGGCAAGGAGGCCGGGCGGTTAAGCACAGCAGAATTGTAGCAGTGAGTTGCGAGTTCGAGACCGCAAAATGCTGTGGATGTTCTGCGATGTTAAGAATCGGCGACAGGCCTGGGGCCTACTAAACGCTGAAACCGCTATTATTATTATGTATAAATATGTGTATAATATAAATCGTGTGTAGATGATAAATATTGTATATAATAAATAGCCGTTCTCCTCGATAGATGTTTTATAGAGAAATCTTAGATAATTTTAGAAATCTAAATAAACATTGTATCTTTTTAATAATCTATTTGAATCAACTTGATTGGTTACTTTGTATGGTTATGTATTATGCGAATGGCTCGAGCTCAATCTTTTTTTTTTGCGGATGTGACTTCGTGTTCATGTGCAACGTTTTTGTATGTCAAATAAACCAATGAAGAATTTCACATTATATTCTTTGTCCTCGTGTAAATATATAATTTATTTAGTCTATAAAATATTATATTTTGTTACTTAGTGTAGAAAACCAGACTCTTGTCTCTTGTGAATATGGCTTTCAGGTTAAGCAGCCGAGGACCGGAGATGTGGCACACATAAGCTCGCCTTCTTCCCAAATCTTTCTCCGCACACACCATATCTCTCAAGTTCAAACGACAGGTGTTGGCTGTGTGTTAGATTTAAACTGTGCACCTGTTCACTCGGCTTGTCTGAACAATACAATACGTAACTTCTCGTCTACGTGGCATGAGACTTTTTGATCACGCATGTGTTAGGCATTTGGTACTGTGTGTGCATGTAAATCTAGCCCCCCTTTATATCCTCAGGTGTGCAAGAAAAGCAAAGATTCATGTCCTCCAATGTGAGGCAAATGCGCTGTTAGTGATGTGACCGGTGCTCTTGTATTCAAGAGTTTGTCTTCGTCCAAATGCATTACAGGAACGGACTTGGAATAACGTTGTGAGGGAGTAAGGCATGCCTTCACTCGCTTGAACAAATGCATTCCATTAAATAGATTTACTGATTTTTTACCATGGATCGAATTGGGTGTGTCGAGGCGACTTACGAATTAGAAAACTGTAATGAATTTAATTTCTAAATCAATGCTTAGAAATTTTTTGCTCAATAAAGTGACAAATGAACTGATCCCTAACAACAAATAATGACAATGTTCTAGATTGCTTACATAATACTAGAACAGAAAAAAATATGCCCGGCCCCTTAGATAGATGAAAATACCGAAAAAAATATTTTATGCTTCAAAAAGCATCATATCGTACATAAGGTAATAATGTCGTTCAAGAGAACGATTCAGCGTTCGTATTTTGCCAAGAAAACGATCAAGGACGCATTTTAGGATGCGTTGTATAATTTATGCCAATTATTTGTAATTTAGTGTGAAACACAATAAAGAAAGGATCGGTGTTCGTTTGCATTATTTCAGGGTGTAATGATTAGATTTTTACTTGTATTTAATTCTCAACTGTGTATTTGTCCTACCGTGCAATTTTCACTCGCATTAAAGTTGGGATCCATTAGTAGCAGACATTTTCTGGAGCATTATAGCTTCTAATGAAACGAAGGCTAGAAGAGAGTAGCATAATTAAGTGACTTTCTTCTCAGTCTAACTGCATCTAGACGTCAATAAAGGAGCACAAAATTATTCCTAACTTTGTTTGGGTTATAAATGAAGGTTTGCATTGAAATTCATCCTCTGCATTAATGGATAATCCGCATTAAGCACAAAAGAGAACGCAAAGCCTTCCGTTAGCGATAGAATTTCTTGTATGCTTTGTGGGCGGCCGCCAGTGGTCAAGAGCGTGTAATTACGCAATGAAAAATAAACTAAGATCACACCACGCAACAAAGTCATGTGTTTTGAAGCTACAAAGAGCGCGACTTGAGGTCGAACCCGAGATTAATGTTTAGAAGCTTACACATTCAGTAATTGATTGCTTTTAAATGATCTTGATGGCTTTGTGGCGATATCGCAGGTTTTATTCATGCTTTAATGAATGGTCGAATTAAAAATAATGATAGCCATCGCAACTCTTTGTGGTTTAAGGATTATTTAGGAACTTGGGCAAGGGCAAATGGCTGTTCTTTTATTATGTGACATCAATTATTCCGCAGTTCTGAAATATAACGACGATGTTTTTATCGATTAAAGTATGGAAAGGCTTTTAAACTTGAACATATATGTCGTGCGCAAAGTTTTATACGGAAGTAACTGGGTACTGGATTATTGGTAAAAAATTGATTAACGTCGTATCGAATCATTCAATATAGTTACCACACGATATGAAATATACAGTACTTATCGCTATTGTACAATTTATCATGATCAGTTATTGATGAACTGATAAGATCTCTACAGCAAAAAAAAATTCGTCCACTCAGTTTCAACAGTGAGAGTATGACGTAGTAAATAATATTTATCGTATTTTTCTCCCATTACATTCTAATTTTCGACAACACGGAATGAAGCTTGAGTTTATTCATTGCAGTGAAGTTATTTCTAATAAACTCACACTGAAGGTAAATGAGAAATTGAATCAAGTATTGTGATACAATGCTCATAATGAATAAATTACCAAAGGATTACCGTATAAATACCGAAGTCAATTTTAATCAAACGTAATTAAAATTCCCATCTATGAGTTTTTTCGGTAATCCAATAAATTTTTATTTATTTGAGATGATTGAAAACATTTCAATGATGATTGTGGAAAGCGAGCTGTACGCATGATTTTCTTTGTATGGCAATTTTCCCCAGTCAAATGACTAAGCGTTACTGTCTTGGAATATTTTCTGTGTTTCAGCAAATTCTGCTGCAGAGCATTCATTCAAACATGAATGTGATGACATTACCATTGAAATCCATTTTAGTTGATCGGAGGAAATTTTATATTAAAAATAACAATAAAAATATTCAGTCGTTTTACTTGTATTTTGTAATTATGCTTAATCATTTTTAAATGAGAACGCGTAACTTTAGTTTAATCTCCAGAATAAAATGAAAACCTGGAGTCTTCAGCTCAAAGAAAGCCATTCCAGTGTTTGTTCACTATATAATGTAAGATCAGGAACGCCGTACAAAATCTCCCATTCGTTCAAATTTCACGGTGCACTAAATTGCATGTGATCAAACTGACTATTAGAAAACGCTTAGCATTCTTTAAGAGCAGTTTAGCCAGGACTAAGTTTGTTTGAAACTTAATCGCAAGCATTCTACGTAGAAAATAGCGTTTCGCAGCCTCATGGCTATTTATGCATGGCTCATAAATTGTTAACGAACATGCGTGTGCATGTTCTTGGGTGGGTCCTTAACAATGGTGAGCTTTGTTCACTTGGGGGAAGGTAGAAAGAAGGTCTTCACATTTATGAACTTCCTCGGACGTTACCATCAAGCGTCCAAGTTCTGCGCGTCCAAATCTAAACTATGCCAAAATTCCGTAAATCAAGTGCCTAGTAAATACCTTAGACTGATCTTTCAGGTGTCAGCTATTTCAAATCCAAAAGTTGTCATGTCATTGTCCCTTTGACTTGAGATTGCAACTATAATTACCAGTCTTTTAGATACTAATTGCATAGACGTCTGCTAATGTCTTTTTCAACAAAGGACTAAAATTATTCGGAGGAAAACTGACAAAAAATACCATGATAAGCTGTAAAATGGTTTTAAAAAATATGAATTGGTTATCACATTCACTTTTAAACCTCACTAATCGTTTTCTATCTTAATATTTTTCATCGAAATTAAGTTTGAGAATCAAAATGAATGTTCAGCAACTAACGAACCTGATCATTGATTTTGCCTCATTTTCTGGGATTGAAAGGTTAGAAATGGATTTCGTGAGTAATTCATCAGGTATGTGGTCAAAATAAAATTGAGTGTCAATTTCAAATATTTTTGCTTCTCAACTAAAATAATATTTGTCTTAATATCATGAGCTTATATCACACGTCAAAAGTTACTAACTGTTGACGTAAAGGAAAACCTCGGGGAGCCAAGAGATAAATATTGTCTCATTTAATCTACGGAAACAGTCATATGATTCAAGTTACTTAAATGAACAATTTCGGTAAGCTCGAGATTTTGCATCTAGTAGCATACAAGCGTTGATTTCCAATGCATATCTCAATTATTTTGAATAAAGTTTAATTTTCAGGACGTGGTGGCGATGAATTTGAAGACCTAGCCCACCAACTGAAGTACTTAATACCAAAACAAGGATTTTTTAGCTTCTCAATGAGAAAAGGAGATTCTTCTAGGTGAGCCAACCTACTTTCGTAATCTGCAGAGATGGTAGAACTAATACTTTCTAAAATATTTTATTCTAAAATGACTCAATTCTTCCATATACACTGTTTGTCATAAAATATATAAAACTACCCATACGCTTTCTCGTATATTAAAAATTCAATATATTAAAACAAATTTCAATCATTAACGTATACTAAAAATCCAACTATAAGTAATCCTGCAATAAGAGTTGTAGTAATAAAGTCTTATCCCATTAATAGAACACGTTAAATATTATTGTTGCTTGAAAAATACATGTAGTTATTGATATTCATCAGACTAAACCAATAAGTACTAGAAAATTAAAATGAAGACAAATAACAAGCATCTTATAGCGATTTTCAAATTTCGTTTGTGAATGTGTTTGAAGTCTAGCACCACAAATCTATAGGGGATGTTTGGGCGCGTATCCAGGATGTTTATCGTATATACGATTATTACCTGGGCAAGAAAATCCATCTTAGTGTGAAAATAAGAAAGGATTGGAGGAAAGGACTATATAATTTTTTTCAATTAGTAGATGTATATTAAATTGCACAGATCCAAAATATATTTTTCAAATTTTGAAACAAGATTGAAATTGAAGTCCTGACTTTTGTATAAAATTTGGGTTTACAGCTTCTATAAATTCCAGGAATAATCATGAATAGGCAACGCAGGGCTAACCTTCAATTTTATTTTATTAGAAAAACTAGATCAATGTATATCATCTTGGAACTGCTGAATTTGCACATCGATCATTTATTGTAGAATTTATTTATTTCATGTCACGTACAGCAGCACTAACCACGAAACCGCCATTTGGAACCGGCGAAAGAAACTTGCAGAGAAATTACTTAATAGACAGCAGTAGCACAGGATGCTAACTGCTTGCGAGGCTGTAAAAACTATCAAAATTATGTTCTTTGTCATTCTTTAGAAACATGGGTATACTGCGTAAGCTGGTCACCACAATTGTCACATCCCAGGATAGTCTACACGCATACAAAGATGTGAGTCATTTAATCAAAAGGAATTTGTGTTTTGAAACAGACAATTCATAGTAGGAATTGTTCGAAGATATTTGTTATATCTATAATAATCATTTCTTTAATTTTCCTCTGGAAGACAAGAAAAAGGATCAAATTATCACTTGCAATTGTTTCAATTATAACCAAATGAAATTTAAGTTGTAAATAATTCTTGGAATACAAAACATACTACAGCTAAGTCAGGATTCATCTCGATATTCAAGATAGAAATGTACACAATGGCTGTCAATCCTTTGAGTATACGTGTGTGTAAATCAGGCACTGTTATTTGATACTAGACTAACAGACGTATGTTCTAGTCTTTCTTTAAGACTATTTGAATTAATGATAATCTTCTGGATGCCAGATCTTTTTCAAAGTGTTAATGAGCGGTCTATACCTTTTCACTGCAGAGGGACTGGACCGGCCTAAGGCTGGTGGTGTGCCGTAGGGCTGACTTGGCCGGCGTCATAGACGTCTTGCCCTGGCCTCTCAATAACAGAGTGAGAAAACATTGCACTCGTGTAGCATTTACTCATCCGCCTACAAATGCTACTATCCGGATTATCAGCTCAAATCAATGTGACATCCCAATAATATAACACATAATCATTCGAGGCTACGATTCTATTAATTAAAACTACCTGAAAACGCCATTCGTTTAACTTTAAAGCATGCATTTACATTTTTTTCGATTAATAAGGAGGCACTCCAATTAGAACATTAATGGATTAAAAGACTCGATTGAGACTAGAGACCCAATGATATTTTAAGATTTGTTTATAATTTTTTCTTTATCGCCCTAAATTCCCTCAGTAGCAGTATTTAATCAGATCTCTATCGCGCGAACAATCTTGGTCGAAAGAAATATCTAAAGAAGATAACAAACCTGTGACTTAGACCTAATGCGAATGCGTTCTGATGACAGGCGCTCATCCTCGTACCAGAAGACATTGAATTCTCAGCTTGGGAGGCGTACCGAGCTAGTGCCGCGGTACCGGCAGTGTACCAGTACCTGACTGCCGTGTCGGTACCTCCTCTTCAGGAGCAGCTGGACGTGTTGAGGCGGGAGCCCTGGTCCAGGCGTACCAACCTAACCGGTCTCGTCATGCGATGTTTATCTGGGGACGTAAGTTGATTTATTCATACAAAGCCCATTTCATATTCTTCTGTCGGTGCGTCGGCAGTAGCAAATACTTTGCATACTAGTCAACAAATGTACTTGTGATTTTTCAGCCGACTCTTGATCGCAGCGATAAGGTAAGTAGTCTAAGTCTTCCTTTGACATTACGCACTGAACTTCAGCTATTGACGCTTATACAGATGATGATTAAACTAGCATTTGAACACCTGAGCCTTATCGCTGGTAAGTGAGCTTCCATTTCGCATTAGTTGATAAAAAAAGGGTTAGAAGATAGCGTGGTCGCAACATCACTCAACCCATTAGAGTTCCATTACCACAAGGGGAAAGTCATCAAGGAATTGTTTTGAAACATCTGAGTTCACAGATTGCTGATTGATTAGGCCCCGGCCCAGTGGATGGCTTTTAAACATTACATTTGTGTCACAACGCAGGTAAATGTATCTTCAGAGCATGTTACCTATAACGAGCATAGAAACTAAGCAAAATTCTGTTTCAAATTAAACCAGTGATCAAAATTTATCAATGAGTTTCTGTGTAAGTCCTCAATCATGAGTCCAATTGGGTGATCGACTTGAATTAATAGTATGTTTTACACGTTTGACCCAAAATAATACAATAAGCATGATAATAGATATAATCTCCGAGAATTTAGGCGGTCTGAATAATCTTAGAAGTCAAAGACACCCTGTGAATCAATTTCATAAGTAAGCTAAGTTTAGCTCACTAATTTTTTAATCAAGGTCAACGTTGCAGCTCAAGAAACTGCATAGCAACATGTGAGCTGTTTTTTGTAGTGGCCCTGCACCAAATGCATTATAACGCCACATTTGCGTTATAATGCAAGTCAATTCGTTAGGTTTAACAAAATTTGGTTGCAGCGGCCCGCTTCACATCTCTCATTCTGTGATAGAAGAAATAATAACTGTTTTAAATTCATTTTACTGCCCTTTCATGGTCTGCAGTATCCTCCGTTCTCCCTGACGTCACCTATGCCAGATGGAACTATTACAGTATCGGGGTTCGCTGGTGACGTTTGGGCAAGCCTCGAAAAACACCTTTCTTTCAGGTATCACGCTCGACAGTGCAGTATTGCTTGGTTCTTATAAAATATCAGACTACATTGCTCTGAATGAGCGGTGAACATGTTAAACCTAACTGGAAGCCGAATCGTTTATCCATTCTTTGGTATGATTCAGTGATATAGAGTGAATTTATGAATTTTTAATGATAATCTTCTTTGTTCGAAATTAATATTTATTATTAGATCATGAGAGGCTTTTGCTAAAGCTTGTATTTCCAAGCATTTTGTATATATCGTAATATATCGAATTTAAAAATGCGTGGGATTTTGTAGTAATTAAATTGATGCAAAAACGAGCTGCGACACACTGTTTAAAATATCATAATTTTACTTATTATTTGCAAGCTTCAAGCAACTTTAACGACAGACATCTTTGCGAGGTAATTTTTCAGATCCGAATGTCGTGCCCCGGACGACGGGTTGTGGGGAAATTACGACGCTGCCACTGGTCGCTGGGACGGCGCACTCGGTCAACTCCAACGAGGCGACCGCGACGTTGTCGTCTCTCCCTTCCTCGTGAACCTGATAAGGAGGAAGTTCTTCGAGTTCTCGAGCCCGCTCTACTCTAGCAGGTAAGGGCACAGAAAAAGCACGTCAGGGCATATTTTCTTAAAATGGTTTTGTTGAATTTTCAGTGAAAGCCTTTGTCTCAAAAGGATACTTGTATGGTTTTCTTAGACAAAAATGGTAGTCACAGTTCGTTCCCTTTAACCTGAGTCCTAATCCATAATTCCCGCCGAAACATCTACTCCGCTCCGTGGTTTTTGTAAATTGCTTCATTTCGTACTGCTCCCGTCGATGACAAACACGTATGATAATTTAATGTTCAATATTCGAATAATTTTCGTTCCATATCTCTCGAAATATCCCACAACGATCACCACTCTCCGCAGGATGGCGGTGATCGTCCAGAAGCCCGAGTCATTCTCCTCAAGCTCCAACTACACTCGAGAGTTCACCGAGACGAGCTGGCTCGTCGTCGCCGGTCTTTTCCTGTTGTCAGTGATGACCATGAAAATCTTCAGCAATTTCATGCAGTCGTCCCGCACTTGGAGCGATTGCTTCATTGAAAACGTACAGATTTTCTGCAACATGGGTGAGTCAATACAGTTAAATTTAAATGATCTCGAATGTATACATCTGCCATCGGATAAAATAGCATACAAATCTATGCTGCAGGTATTGGAGTAAATGGATGCAACAAGCACGGAGTCCTTGCGAATTTAAAATTTCAATTTCGATTTAAAGTTATTTAGGTTCATTTAACTTATAATCAATAATTTTTTTAATTGAAACATCCCAAATCGACGCACCATATAATTGAGTAATTTTGAATTCACTAGTACATAAGCATATCAAGCAAAATTTGAACACCCGCGTAGATAATGAATATTTAATGTATACTGACATTAAAATAAATTGTGCATTAGTCTTGATACTGATAAAACCAAAATACATAAATATTTCATAAAACTTGTTAGCAACTAAATAACAGATGTCGCCCACCAGGTTACAGGGGCAGCGCCCCTGACCGCTGGTCCTACAGGATTTGGCTCCTGACGGCGCTCTTCGCCGTGGTCCTGCTGAACGTGGGCTACACGTCCTTCCTCACGGCCATGCTCTTGTCGCATACAAGTGAACTCCCAATCAAAACTTTGCAAGATATATACGACAAGAAGGACGATTTCTCTCTGGGGCTCGTCAAAGATTCTTCCACTGTAATTCTCTTCAAGGTAGCTTTTTCAAAGTGATTGTCGGATAATTTAGAAGTCGTTGAATAACGATCATTTGAATGAAACCAGACTAGTAAATAATTATCCGGTTCAAGTTAGTTGTAAACGCTGTCTGGAATATTTGGGATGGAAAATAGAAGTGCTAACAAACTCTTAAACATTTAAGTATACCGCCATTGACTTTAGATTCTTTGTGGGTTTGACACGAAGTGGCGTACATTTAGTTAGCTTATGTATGAGTATAATTTGCTGATGGCCAAAACAATATGCGTAAAAGTCCGGTTTATGTTTCAGTTTGCAGAAGACAACGATGTATTGTTACGAGGTTTGTGGAGGGAAATGATCTCCAAAGACCCTCGAAACCTCGCATCCGAGAAAGCCAACGTCGAGAGAAGCCTTCACGACCGTAAACATATTTCAATCATGGACTATGATTATTACATGAACAATTTGGCGGTAAGTGAAGGTGATAAATTAATACGGAATGTACATAACTCTATTCCTTCGAAGATAATATATCTCGGTTAAACAATGTTTTCGGCAGGCAGCCGGTGTGACGTTCAACTTTGGGTCGGAGTAAACGAATCTAATAAGAAACTTTAATCTGCCTATATTAAATTATGTCTAATTAAGAAGAACTTGATACATTGAATGTTATCGAAACATCGATTGAAGTTTAACATCGCTTCAAGCGCTATATGAATTGTAGCTACAAGCGCTACAGCAATAGGAGCTGTCATTCAAATAAAGCAAACTAAATTAAACTTTAAGAACGTTCCTATCGATTTTGAGCTCTATAATGCCAAGATACCAGCCCAAATGTTATTGAGACTTATTCATTATTGCGCGGCGCGCAATACCTGAATTATTCAATAATCGACTCAATAATCGTCATGAAGGATTCGTTTGCATCTCGCCATGTCTCCCGATTACCTGTCAGCCGTAGTGTTGACGTATGCCCTACACAAATACGACGCGTGACCGCCACTTACGACTATGGACAAGCCGTGACCGCCACTTGCGGCTACGGACAAGCCGTGACCGCCACTTACGACTACGGACAAGCCGTGACCGCCACTTACGACTACGGACAAGCCGTGACCGCCACTTACGACTACGGACAAGCCGTGACCGCCACTAACGACTACGGACAAGCCGTGACCGCCACTTACGGCTACGGCGCTAGCTGCAGATCGTACTTCTGTATCGGCTACAACAGAAGAACAACCCTTTTAGGCGCACATTTTATGATCCTCATTTATACAGGCGTCGTGCACAATAAAGCCTTGCCAGAAGACAAAACCCATGGCTGATATAAACGAACTCTTTCCTATGTTATGTTATCCTTGTCTCCTGGTGAAGCCAAATACTGCTACCAATCTTTTATAATCTTTCAGTCATACTCAACTTATTCGCACAATCTACGTTCGATTTTATAATATCAAGAAAACTCTGGATCACGCTTCACTCCCGCATATATTATTAAGTCTAATTCGACAAATTTATTTATAGCGAAATCTATCTACTTTATATTACGTAGATATTATTATTAACTGCTTTAATTCGTTTTAAAATAATTATCTAGAGTCAATTTGACGTTTCCTCCAGTTGTTCAATATAGTGTACAGTTTAGTTTTCATTACTATAAATTAATCTCAATCGAATATAAAAATTCTATCCGGTTGTCATTTCACTTCAGAGGTATTATTCGTAAGTAAATTTTATCCAGACAAATGATACGTGGGAGGAGTTTATCAAACGCTCGATGTCTGCTGATGAATGTCTCAGATAGTTTTTTCTTAACAGGACTGCCATCTGGCTGTCTTGCCTGAAATGGTTATTATGTCTTCAACTTCCTTCCCGCTGAGGCGACAACATCCTGCCAACCAAATCATAAACTACGTGTAAGTTTGCTATCTAGGCTCAATAGACTATGTAAATACTTCTTCACCTTGCAAAATTATACATACCATATCAAATCATATTAAAATTTACAAATAATTTTATTTAAAATCTCTTCGTTTTAGTGACACCGATATAGGGTAACATGGGGCAGCGAGCCCACTGCGGGTCATGGGTCCATAGCGGGTTTCTCACTAAGTATGGCAGATATTGGTCCGTGTTCTCTACCGCCGGTCGACAGTTTCACTGGGATGAAGTGTACGGATTTACGTTTTATTAAGTGTTTGCGTTATTAAGTTATTTGTGAATAACTGTTTTAGCCCAGATAAAAATTTTTTGCTGCAAAATAAAACTGTTTTCGATTACTGTAGATGAAGCTCTTGAAATTACTGTGACTTAAATTTTGAAAGTAATATTTATAGGGATAATTTTGAGATCAATTTTAGACTATTAGCTTTTAAAATAAAATGTTGACACGATATAAATTGAAATGATACCTAGTGAGGCAACGGGCCCACGCGTGTCACGGGGCAAAGCGCCTATAGTGAAGTCTTGTGTTATACATGATTAGATTTGTCTCAATGACCTTTTTCAAAACTATGAATAGTTTTTTTAATTACAAATTACACTTCATATTGCATGATTTTTTTATTTGCCGCCTCAAGGCAGCAGGTTTAGTTTCTAGTTATGCGTATTTGTGACCCCTTATCGAGTTATTGACTCTTGCCTTGCCAAAAGTTGATTTCAGTCAACACCAATGAGCCAAAAGTTGGAGTTTTATGGTGTTAGCTGAAATCACGATTAGGTACGAATTCTCTGCACATAATATCTGGATTATGGACGAAACTAAAATGAATTTTTTTTTTGTGATCAACTAAATATATTTTTTTCTAGTCAAGGATACATTTTTTCATGTCAAGGACGAATTTTTTATCGCAAGGATATTTTTTTCAAGTCAAGGATATATATTTTTATGTCAATGAAATATTTTTTTTCACGTCAGTGATAGATTTTTTAAGCCAAGAATATATTTTTTTCATGTTAAGGATATGATTTTTTGAGTTGTTAATAAATGAATGAATGTCATATTTTTTATTACATTTTTCTTATTTTTAACAGTAAAGTGTTGTTTTATCATTTTTAAACGAAAAATATGCAATTGTGGTAAAGGGACCAAGGGTGGGCGCCTTGCCCCAAGCCCATGGGCCCATTGCCCCAGGGGTGGGCAATGGGCCCATTTTGACACTTATTACAAAATAGTGTTTCATTAAAAATTGAATAACTCTATAGGCGTCTAATTCACATCATATTCATCCTCATTAGTTGTACCTTTAAACAAAACAAAGAACCACTTCGTATCAATTAAAACTTCATCAAAAATTTAGTTTAAAAAGGGGGGGGGCGTGATGCCCCATGTTGCCCTATCAACGCAAACAATTTTGTCATTCACAGTAATCACACGTTTTAGTTATCTCTCGTAAGGAGATCAGCCAATCAAGCAAACGAAAATTAATTTATAATCTATCCAATCAAAATTAAACACTACATAACACATACATACATACAGTTCTGAAAATCATTGAATCTTCATTCCGATGACGGTGGGGCAGCTTTTGGACCAGGTATTAGGTCTATGGGATCAATTTAATAGGAGGGATGAATCCACAATTTGTTAACAGATGCTCTTGAAAATTGCAAATAAAAATTTCTCTTGTAAACTTAATAAACTATTGTTTAACTTAGCTGTCGTTTCCCATGTTTAGTCGATTAATCTGCCATCAGATTGCTGAAGATGTCGGAGAGCGGAGTGCTGCGGAAGATCTTCAAGAAATGGCAGAAGGCAGCAGAAGCGTGCGAGTCGGAGCAGCTGTTTGCGCTGGGGCTGGCCGAGACTTACACGGCCTTCGTGCTGCTGGCGATCGGCATGATCGTCGCCTGCGTCGTACTCGTCGTAGAGAAGTTCCAGTCAAGGAAAACTAATCAACTTTAAATGGATTCTCCAGAGTGATAAAGTGAATAAGTATTATTATGCCATGAAGCTAAGATTCTGCCATAGTTGTTGGAAGCTAAGAGGGTCGATAATTATTGCAAAATATGTAAGATTAACGCTGATCCGATTGCATCCAGATATTTAGTGTATGTAGTTCGTCAGGTGTCGAAGTAGATCCGAAAACTCAGATTCGTAGAGCATATTCAGACCATGCAGAAGGGTACAAGACTAGACTCAGATTATTCTATAGCTTGAAAATTCAGCTGGGAGAATTGAATTTTTTGTGGGGCGAAAAAAAAAACAATTAGCATGCCCACTCAAACTTCATGATGCTACCTGGAGTGGAATAAAACTTGTCTTCATTCACTCGTCAGAAATTGTAACAATTGATTACGTTAATATCAGCAAGCAACACTGCTGCATGTTATTTGTTCCTTTCATAACAAGATTGCATCTGCGACTCATTCTTGCATCTTAAAAGTGGTGATGATTGTGTTCAGAGAATTAATGAATCACTTAATCTAGATTCATCTAACAATTACAGGAAAGCAATGCACTATCATTTGTGTTCAATGGTTGTGGACATCTGAGACGAATAATTCTAGCTGTAAAGTTTGAGCAGCCATGAACTTACACATTGCATTATATGGTAGAAATATTAGTGTCCGCGCTGATTAGTCAATTCCGGCCTCTCAATATTTCTAGACATAACAGAATTCTTACAGCTTGCTAGGGCTTTGAACCCACAACTCACAAACTCAATAGCCAATCAAAACCGAATTTTTTAATTTGGTCCTCATTTTCTTGTACATTGTCTTAACTTTATTTGAAATGAATTCATTTCAAATGAACGATTTGAAATGTATTTCTATGGCCTATAGCCGTTTTTTCATTTTAATCTATCTTTAATAAACGTACTCTTATTTTGTTCGAATGAAGAGGACAATCATTGCATAAGCTCAATTTAGGGATAATGTCCCGTCGACAGGCTCAACAAAGGCCTCATCGAACCACGAGTTGGAGTCGTAGATGTATTTTATTGACTTGTATTGAAATAATCCTAACGAATTTATACCATAATATGTACAGTTTCGGACATGTGAAATAATACATTCAATTATTATTTGAAGCATTGTTACGTACTGTTTACTGATTCCAAACTATGCGGTGGCACTTTCTGATCCAAATTATTTCAAGCTGTATAAACCCATTGACAATTTCATACTAAATGACGAAATTGTTTCTTTGTTAACTGTTTATGTTGTAGGCTCAGTTGAATTTCTTCGATACGAAAGTTGCTGTTTAAGTAAAGAACATAAATTCAAAACGGTTTCTTTTAAAAAATGCTTAATCGATTCGCATCTAAATTCTTGACTTGTCCTTTCTGAATTAATACTAATGCTAATAACTACCTTATCAGAACAAATGACAAATGTGGATCTAAGAAGTAACCAAGCAAACGCTAGACCTTTGTTCACGCGAATAATTTATTCGTGAATTTCATTTAAGAAATACCTGACCATACCCAGGGGCATACCAAAAAGTGTATTATGGGCCTGTCAAAAAAGTGTAACTAACTTCACTACGCAGTCATTCAGCCTGAAGTAATTTCGTGCAATATTGATTCGTTCTGCATTATTTGAATAGACATGGGCAATGTGCAAACCGAACGGCTTTGGCTTTGTCTCACTGATGTTAAAAGTGGTCATTCGCGGGCATGCCGGCGCAGGTGAAAGAGTATATTTATCTGAGCTCCCATTACTCTTTTTCCTATCAGTCATGGGAACGTTTACTATCTGTGAGAAAATTACCGATTAAATTTCACACTTATTCTTGATGGGTCCCGGATGTCTTGGGTTTTAAGAACTAAAATATGTCTAATTCCATATTGATGGAAATTCAAACACTGATATAAAATGAAGTCAATAAATTATTTTAAAACTTTCCTGCGTGCATTACACGGAATTTCCGTCGTATTATTCTGTCCGTTAAGATATTTTCCATTAATCAATTTAGTTCATTGTTAGATAATCGAGTACTCGCACAAAATGTATGCAGATGAACTATTTAAAGTGATAATTGCAATTTCTTCATTCTTTGGAATCCAAATTCTTCAGATGGATTCTGTGAATAATTCAACAGGTATGAGTGTATTCAGTGTTTTTCGTTACCAGGTAAGAATTGCTTCGAAAGATTTATAATTCTGGGTTACTATCCCTACAACAAACATAACTCTTGCATTAATCACAAATGAACTTATAGCGAAGGCGCTGGTAATCTTTGAAAATATTTGAGACATGATCGCTATTCTGTGTTACCAATTACGCATGAACGTAAATACACAACATAACTCACATTCTAACTTTAATCATTGTTTTCTATTGCTAGTTTGAGTTATTAGATAAAATAAAATCTCATGATTGAACATTGTTTATCCTCCGTCAGGCTGTGGGAGTGATGAGTTTGGAGACATCGCCCGTCAACTGCAGTTCTTAATATCAAGGCAGAAATTAGTTAACTTCGCACCTACAGAACATGTGTTAACGTAGGTCGTTAGTTCAGTATTGTGATCATAATGAATTTTTGTATTATAAGTTCGCATTGTTGTAACGCAAGGATTGTCTGAGCATCATTATTCACAACACTGATAGTCAGCTTAATAGTCCTATAAATCAAAAGATTTTTGATATTGATACAGAAATGCAAACATAAACCACTAGTTATGGTTGGTAAAATTTGTTATGCACTTTAAAAAGTTCATCAGAATCCCGCATCAAAAAAAGTAATGAAGACAATTATTCAAATGACGAAAGAATTCTTCCTCGTTCGTGTTAAAAAGCGCATCGATGAGAGTAAAAGTCGCATAAGATTTGTGGACGGTTTTGTCGACTTTGATTAACCTTCTAGACCGAGAGAAAGCGGTACCAGATAAATATCATGCCTCTTGTATTCGTTAATAGCAACAAGATATATACAGTATGATTTCCTAGAACGGCTTTGGAAGCTTATTGATTGACTTAAACTCCGGTTGAATATTCTTGTTAATTAAAAGTTTCACAACACAAACCACCAAAAAGTCAAACAACTATAAATCACTGAAAATAGTTATTAGTGTAAATAATGTAGTTTTCAGCAGCATAGTTGAAGATGTACAGACCTTCATGCGGTTGATGTTATAGTCATATTTCAGTTATACGAGTTACCCTCGGAAGCTGACCATCACCGTCATCACGTCGCAACATGAACTACACGCTTACCAAGACGTGAGTCAATCAATCAAGTTATGAAGTTTTCTCCCCTTAGAAATTTATTGTATGCCATAAAGTTGTCCCTGTAAGTCTTTGGTCGAAAAAGCATAGCATTATTCATTTATTCCATTTCAAAACACGGGATTCCACTAAACGGGGATTTTAAATTTCATCTTCATAACTATAGTCCCTAATGAATTAATAACTATCATCCCGAGACTTTTGGATGCTCAATGATTAAATTAATTGAATTTTTCTACAATTCTGAATCAGACCGAGCACATTACACCATCAAGCTGAGCGCAGTAGAAAATAAATTAAGAATCATTGATTCGTATGCGGTCTGATGTATGTGATCACCCCATGAACGAAAATTTATTGTCTATTTTAGCTATAGTCTCCTGCTACAAATATGTAATGGAAATTAGAACTCAAATCTTCAGACAAAGCCGCCTATATAATTTCATCTGAACTTATAATCATTATCAAGTGAGAAATAAAAGTGTGAGAAATTCATCATTCCTCACCGTAAGGTTTTATTACACTAGGGTTTGTTTATAAGATCTGCAATGAACTTAATTATCCTAGTTGTTGAATCCGCTTCTCTAGCTTCATTCGGAGAATAAGTATTTGGTCTTGATTGGGGGTTCTGCCGAGGACTTAGCCAGTCCTCATCGTAATCAATTATCGATTACTATTTCTGAAGTTATTATTGACTATTGCCAGTTATAAAAGCCATTTTTAACCGATTGACAACTTATTTGCATGAACGTCCAAGTATTTCTACCGTCTTGCTATAAACTTGTTTCTCTATTTCTTGGTTTGTGTGAATGTCGTATGAATTTCATTTTGTTCATTTTTTGCTCTATCAATTTCATTCACTTAATCTGTTGGGAAGTTGGACTTAGTTTGAAGGTTACAATTTCAAATTAATTCAAATTCTAACTTTCATTTTATAAATTTATTCATTAATTATTCTAAATCAGATTAATCGATTAAATTTTTTAGTGTTCTTTGCTATAGAAGTGCATTATTGTGTTACGTCACCTTCAAAGATCACTATTCATACCTTAGCCCTTAAGTCTTTACCTCAATTTTCCAAAGCATCAAACGTTCAACTGTTCGTCCTAATTTTCCTGTCCAACTTTCCACCCCTTAAACTGATTCCCACTATTTTCCTCCAATTATTTTTCCGTCATAAAGTAATCTCAATACAGGGCATTTGAACCTCAGGTTCGTAGTGTTTTTCGTGCCAAATTGATATTTTGATCATATATTTTAACCATAATTTGCTTAACTGGGCATTTATGCATGATATAAAATTTAAATTTATTTCTTCTACAGTATACATTAATCCGATCCTGAGACTGGCCGGCCGTACTTTATTTCTACGTCACTCATTCGTCACGTGCTCTTTCAACCCGTCAAATTCAACTTCTTGTTTACCGTATACTGCATTCTGGGATTCGGCTCTTAACCACCAAACTTTGCCCGCATTACAAGGAAGAAAATTTACTTCAAATCAAACTCAAAACATGTTGACTAAATATAAATAAAACTTTCATGATTATATCTTTAATTTGACACCCTGTCAATTGTGTGAAAACCTCACACAAGTCCGCTCATTTTCTCATTGTTTGCTTCGACTGCAGGTGGACTGGACTGGCCTAAAGCTGGTGGTGTGCCGTAGGGCTGACTTTGCCGACGCCATAGATGTTTTGCCCTGGCCCCTCAATAACAGAGTGAGATAACATTGCACTCATGTAGCATATATTCCTCCGCCTACGAATGCTACTTTACGGATTATTAGTTCAAATTGATATGAAATCCCAATAATATAACAAAAAATCATACGCGCCAATTATTCTATTAAAACCACCTGATGACGCCATAGCTCAAAACATGCATTACAATTTTTTCCGATTAATGAGGAATCACTCCAATTAAAACATTAATGGATTAAAAGACTTGATTGAGACTGGGGACTCAATGATATTTTATGATTTGTTAATAATTTTTTCTTTGCAGCACTAAATTCCCGCCCATCAGCATTTGACAGATCTCTATCGCGCGAACAATCTTGGTCAAAAGAGATGTCTAAAAAAGATTACAAACCTATGACTAAGAATTAATACGAATGCGTTTTGATGACAGGCGCTGATTTTCGTACCAGAAGACATTGGATTCTCAGCTTGGGAGGCGTACCGGGCAAGTGCCGCGGTACCGGCAGTGTACCAGTACCTGACTGCCGTGTCGGTACCTCCTATTCGGGAGCAGCTGGACGTGTTGAGGCGGGAGCCTTGGTCCAGGCGTACCAACCTAACCGGACTCGTCGTACGGTGCTTATCTGCCGATGTGAGTCGAGCTTTCCTTCTATTCCCTCGTTGTTCGTTCCCTTCGAAATTCTATTAAAGATTTGGCTCAAACATGTAATTTTGAAACAATCTTCCCAGTGAAGGAGGAACAAAATAATGTGTTTTTTCTTTGAACATCGATTCATAATGGCATACTTCGAGACATTCATTCATAAAATTCACCGATAATTTAGCAACGAAGAAAACGTCAAGTAAATCCATTATATGCTATTACATCTAAAAACGCTTCGGAGATTAGCTCAAGCATCAGTTGAAAAATAATATAAAATACAAGTAAATCAATATTGATGATCAAAATATACAGGAACAAGATTAGAACCTAAAGCAACTAAAAATATACAAATGAACCTATCTATTTACAATTTCAAAGCGGTATGAACTTTACGCCTCATCAAGACAAGGTTTTCTCCTACAAATTTGCAGTGATTTGAAAATCCTTTAAACCCGCACCACTAGAGGTGATTCCCTCTCAGATACATTCACTGTTCAGACAGTCACAGTCGCACTGTTCAGCGTGAAGGCACATAACAAATTGAAAAGGCTTGAACCTGTGTCAAGAAATCTGCCTTTTTGGCTTTGCCATTGTGTTCAGAAACCTAAATTTTGTGTTACGTAACGTCATTCCGGCGCAAGCTGCTGCGCAGCGTACACAACCAAATTATTAAACCAGGTTGAATCACATCGGGACAGGAATAACGTCATAATAGCCGACGATGGAATCAAATTTGAAATGATCCACTAGTAAAAAAATGCAGCTGATATCGAAAAATTATTTTTAAAATAAGATTTTTAATTCTCTGCACATTGTTTCAAACAAGCTACCGAAATAGGGAAGAGTGCATTAAATAGGTTCCCTACTATAAACATCAGTTACAGAGTCAGAATATCTATTAGTCAAAAACTCTTTATTTTACTAAGCACAAGGCACGATGGAAATCCATTCAATTTAAACACATTACGAATAAATGTACAGAATGCAATTCATTGAAGTTGAAACAAACGCTTAAGAAACTCTTGCCGACCGAGGCGGGTAAATGTGGGTTTGCGGTAAACAGAAGTCTGGAAGCTGCCGTTTGATCTAGTAACTTTACCCCACCATTAAGGGATCTATGTACTTAACATTAAACGTAAAATTGGCTGACAGAAGTCAGTCAGCGGCTTGAACAACTAGTATTATCATCATGCTAACTGAACGAAAGTAATATCATGGCAACTGCATGCGCCCGACTCGGCTTCTGTAAGAGTGCAGCTTCCTTCGAATCTCTACTTCAGAAATGCGAAAGTATAGGTGCCTTACTTCTTCATTCACTCCTTGATTCTTTTATGGTTTTTATTCCAGTATCCTCCGTTCTCAATGACGTCACATCAGCCTGATGGAACAATTACAGTAGCGGGTTTCGCTGGCGATGTGTGGACAAGCCTCGAACAACATCTTTCCTTTAAGTACATCTAAAAACTAACAATTATTCAATACAAAATTCTTTAGATTGACAAAAAGTTGAACCTAAATGCACTTTAAAATAATTGAGTAAACGACACGGATATTTCCTACTTTCTCTAAAACTAAAATATGTCTGCTACATAATCTAAGAATCCTAACTCGTGAGCTTCACACAACTACTCGTGAATTGAATCATGCTACTTGCTATTTAGTTTAGTATTTAGTTTCGTGCAATATTTCCTACCACTTGCTGGTCCGAATGTCGTGCCCCGGACGACGGACTGTGGGGAAGTTATGACGCTGCCACTGGTCGCTGGGACGGCGCACTCGGTCAACTCCAACGAGGCGACCGCGACGTTGTCGTCTCTCCCTACCTCGTCAACCTGATGCGAGGGAGGTTCTTCGAGTTCTCGAGCGCACTCTACTCTAGCAGGTCAGGGCACTGGTTGACCTGCTAGCTTCTTCAAAAATTGCCTAGAAGGCAATTTTCAATCGTTACTTCTCTATCTAAAAGTTTTAGAAACATGATCACTTAAGATCATGTGCATGACATTCATCGTTCGATTCTGAAACGACCTTCCCAGTAAAGGAGGACAGAATTTATGTCTCTTTCTTTCAAAAACCTGCATTTCTGAATGAAAAACTGCAGTTTATTAAGTACTGAAATCGATTCGAGCCCGAATCGCCGAGAATATTCCACAACAATCTCAACCTCCTACAGGATGGCGGTGATCGTCCAGAAGCCAGCGTCATTTTCCTCGAGCTCCAACTACACACGCGAGTTCACTGCGACGAGCTGGCTTGCCGTCGCTGGGCTCCTCTTGCTGTCCATGATGACCATGAAAATTTTCAGCAGAGTCATGAATTCTTCCATTACCTGGAGCGATTGCTTGATTGACAACATACAGATTTTCTGCAACATGGGTCAATCTACTTAAATACTCACTTGTAACGTTTAATTAACTGTTAAAAATTTCTCTGTATATATATATCGATCAAACCGTAAATGTGAAGCCTACCTAACTTATGGACTGGCCAACCGATTATTTGAAAAATACAACTAAGAACCCCCAACTTCAGCAAAATGTTTTGTACGTCCTTTTTCTAGAATTACCGCTGATTTTTCGTGTATCAAGTGCTAAGAGAGTTGAAAATATTCACACTTTTTAAAAAATTTATACCTTAGAGTGAGTCGCTTAGACAGTAGAATAGAAGAATAGAATAGAAGTGTCGGCACTGAAGAAATAGGCCCATGGCCTGTTGCCGATTCTTGAATTCTTAGTGACTTGATTCAAAAGGGATCCGGCCTTTGGAACCCGATCTTTCCATAACTGACGATTAATTGAGATAGCTGCTGGACTTATTGCCTGGTCCGTAATTTGCTAGGCATTTTAAGACTGAACATATGCTCCTGCATAGCTTCGTCTAGTGACTCTAGTCTATTCTTGAAGATGTTCATACTCGGAGCGTCAACGATGCTATCAGGGAGGCTGTTCCACATGTCGCTGACTCGAAGCGAGAAGGAATGTTGTCGCATGGATGTGTCACAACGCAGTTTTTTTAGTTTATAGCCGTGGCCCCTGGTGTTTGCTCTTGTTTCAAATTCTACTAATCCTTCTGGGACCTGAAGGTGCTTGAAATTGAAGGTGCCTACAATAAAGTAAACGTAGGCCATTCTTGATATTTTCGAAACAATAGTAGGTAATCGTATATAGCATAAAACTTGATCATAACTACAGATGTCGCCCACCAGGTTACAGGGGCAGCGCCCCTGACCGCTGGTCCTACAGGATTTGGCTCCTGACGGAGCTCTTTGCCTTGGTCCTGCTGAACGTGAGCTACACGTCCTTCCTCACGGCCATGCTCTTGTCGCGTACAAGTGAACTCCCGATCAAAACTTTACAAGATATATATGAAAAGAAGGACGATTTCTCTCTGGGGCTCATCAAAGATTCATCTTCAGAAATTCTCTTTGAGGTTTTTCCTGGGACGTTCCGAGAATTTAGGAATTTCCCATTTTTCTTTGTATATCAATCATATATATGTATTTCATTTGAAGGGAACAGTAAAGTTTAGAGGCAATGTTAGCAATACATAGCAAACTTTCATCGTAGGAACTGAGACTACGGCATGAATAATTAAATTGTATAACTTCTAGGATATTTTACAGAGAACTAAAAATTGCGATCTAATCCAATTACCGTCATATAGTTTGCAGAAGACAACGATGTATTACTACGAGCTTTGTGGAGGGAAATAATCACCAAAGACCCTCGAAACCTCGCCACCGAGGAAGCCAATGTCGAGAGGAGCCTTCATGACCGTAAACATATATCAATCATGGACTATGATTATTACATGAGCAACTTGGCAGTGAGTGCATATAACAAATCATTTCCTTAGTACGTAAGCTCATATTTGCCCTGAAGGCGGTCCTTGAGAAATAAATATCTGAAACCTGCTATCTGATAGTGTGACATGTAAAAATGCAAGTCGTATACAAGTAAATCTGTAGACTTCAATCCGAGGAAAATTTGATTTAACTGTCTAATCCTCGCGTTACATCTGGTCTCCATTTCTTAGTAATTTTACATAAATCGGTATGATGTAATCGAAATAGATTGGCATTCATCGTTTAAAGTGAATTGTCTGGTGGAGCAACTATGTTGAAGGCTGAAAAATGAAGTTATAGTGAAATAAAATCTAATATAAAGTTAAAATTTCGTTGAGGTGATAAATGCCCAAACACAATACATGTAACGAGCCTTGTTACTATTAAAAATTACTGATTAATCTCAACCTCGGGCAATTTAAAAATCAATTTCTTTTTAGAATAGCAGCGCTATCATTATTTCGGTTTACGTCAACTGTGTGACGTAAGTATTTGTCCATTATATTCATTTTTTGAGTAGTAGTCAGGAGCATCCAAATGCGGTGTCAATGACATTTAAAAATGAATACCTACTAATGGCATGTGCGGCCGTCGACAGACTGCCTCAAGCAATGCTTATTCAACAGCTAATCTACCAAATGTTTTTTAACAGGACTGCCGACTGGCCGTCTTACCAGAGAAAGTCATCAAGGCTTCTATTGCATTCCCAATGCGCCGAAATTATCCCGCCAACCCAGTGATCAACTACGCGTGAGATTAAAATCTGAGCTCAATTCATTACTTGCTTCTTTCTTCGTCATAGAAGATCACTTAGTCTAAGAGGAAGAATCTGCATGAAGCTTCTAGGGTTGATACTCTTCAAAAAAAAAACCTTGTTTACCTGCCAGTATTTAAATGTTTAGATGATAGGGTAAAAATACAGGTAAAACTATCATTTAATGGTTTTTAAGAATTCAAGAAAGAAAAGAAATTTGAATTGCTCTTATGGTTACCAATTAGCAATATAAACTCAGAATTTAATATTCATTAGATCTAAAATCAATTATTTTCTTGTATCGCAAGTTAAGCAGGAATTTAAAAGCAAAGACAATACTACAAAAATTCACCATATCTTTATAAGAGAAATCGTTTCGGAGTCCAGCTCCAACGTCAGTTCATGACACAAAAATTCTGTTCAGAAAAAGTTTAGTCTTAGAAACCCAAAAACAATCAATTAGTAAATTAAAATGCGCTGTTATGTTTCAAAACGGAAAATAAATATATAAGACATGAAATTAACGCCAGTTACCGGCCTATCTATTTACTATTTCAAGAGGAAAGTAGCTAAAAGCGGACTTCAGACTATAGGCTTCTGTTTGAATAAATACAGGGATTCTAAAATTCGTAGATCATTAACACTGGATGTGGAAGCTAGAATTTTGAAATCACTATCAGATACAGAGGTGTTGCTCTTCTCGGCATGAACACGTACAGCAGAATGAGGTGGATGTGCAAGTAGGTTCCCCGTTCAATAACTATTGCCCCTATGCTCAGCCAGCCTAGTACAGAAATTTCGGGCCGTCATACCGACGTACGCTGATGCGCACTGCGCACAACTATAGCTGTAAACTAGTGACGATCGCATAACAACAGGTAGGGTATCCTCATAACTAAAAAACGAGCCGATTCGAAAATTATTAACTAACAACACATGGAGATTTACATCCGGAAGATATTTAGCAAGTAAAACTTTTAATTCCTTTGGCATGGTTTGGGCATGGGGCTTCCACTCGACCCTACAATTGGCAATATATTCATGTGTTTTCACGAGGCACAAGGTTGGCAATTCTCCTCTTAATTTTAAGCCAATTTTCTATAACCGACATGTTAAAGATACCTTTTTGATTTTCAAGCATCCCTCTCATGTGGGCCTTTTCTTTGACTATCTTAATCTCCAACATAAGTCTATCAAATTCACCATGGAACTGGAATCAGACAATAGCTTGTCTTTCCTTGATTGCAAAGTTGCCAAATCTAATGGCCGTTTCCAAACTGCTGTTTTTAGAAAATCGACATTTACCGGCTTAAGCACCAGCTTTTTAGCTTTTGCTCTTTTCGTTTCAAGTTATATGGGGCCCAAACATTGATAAACCGAGGCTTTCGCATTTGTTCTACTTTCCTAGTCATGCACTCTGAATTTGAATTGTTGCGCATATCTTTTCACAAAATGGCTTTTCATTGCACCTGGTGTTTGCCCAAATTAAAAATTTTATGTCCAAACAATATACTGCAGTCGTAACCAAGTGTGGCAATAGGAAAGTTGTTTACTGTTCTTTTCCCTACTTTGGCCCCACATCTGAGACTATGTCAAAAGGAATTTAAAGTTTTATTTGCTAAATATCTTCCGGATGTAAATCTTCAATTGTTGCTAGTTAACAATTTTGAATCAGCTCGTTTTTCAGGTATAAGGATACCCTACCTGTTCTTATGCGATCGTCACTAGTTTGCAGATATAGTTGTGCGCAGTGCGCATCAGCGTACGTCGGTATGACGGCACTCAATTTCTATACTAGGCTGGCTGAGCATAAGGGCACTAGTTATTGAACGGGGAACCTAATTGCACATCCACCTCATTCTGCTGTACGTGTTCATGCCGAGCAGTGCAACACCTCTGTATCTGATAGTGATTTCAAATTTCTAGCTTCCACATCCGGTGTTAGTGATCTACGAATTTTAAAATCCCTGTATATATTCAAACAGAAGCCTAGTCTGAATGCCGCTTTTAGCTCCTTTCCTCTTGAAATAGTAAATAGATAGGCCGTTTACTAGCGTTAATTTCATGTCTTACTTTTTTTATTTTCCGTTTTGAAACCTGACAGCGCATTTTAATTTACTAATTGATTGTATTTGTGTTTTTAGGACTGAACTTTTTCTGAACAGAATTTTTGTGTTATGAGCTGACGATGGAGCTGGACTCCGAAACGTTTTCTCTTATAAATATATGGTGAATTTTTGTGGTATTGTCTTTGCTTTTAAATTCCTGTTCATTAGATCTACATCATTGAAATTATGAGGAAACAAAAGGTAATTTCATAAACTTCTAATTTTCATAAATTCATAAAAAACTTCTAATTTTACTGTAATTAATTGAAAATTCATTGGAATAGTTTTGCATACGATTTCATTTCGTGGGTCTTATTTTTGAGTGCGAATGAACTAACCACTTATCTATTTGTGTCAATATAACCTCTATGGAGTTTTTTACTTATTCATGCCAACCAAGGTTTTACACAATTAATCGTTTCATCTGTCATCAGATTGCTGAAGATGTCGGAGAGCGGAGTGCTGCGGAAGCTCTTCAAGAAATGGCAGAAGGCAGCAGAATCGTGCGAGTCGGAGCAGCTGTTTGCGCTGGGGCTGGCCGAGACTTACACGGCCTTCGTGCTGCTGGCGGTCGGCATCGTCATCGCATTCGTCGTACTCGTCGTAGAGAAGTTCCTGGGTAGAGCTAAATAAATTCAAATCATCAAAATGAAGCTCATAAATGAGTATAAACAAAACTTTGCCAGATGTTGACATTACTTTAGCAAAATTTTAGAATTATGAAGAGTGCGTTTGATACGAGAGTTTGCAGCATTCTGTTCTGCGACACACTGTAATTAGTCGTCAATTACTTCATCACGCAAGACAATATAACCATTAAATCGTTGTGAACTTTTCTAATAAGCAATGATTACCCAAAACATCTCATATACCATTCCAGAAAAATCGTAAACAAAAAAAATCTAAGAATATTCCACCAACTTCAGCAATTAGGGAATTCAATGAGAAGCCATAGTTTGAATAAATTCAAATAGAAAAGGAAACCTGTTAGATATTAGTTACAGCTAGTTAGGCTGCAACATTGTTCCGGTTAAATTCATGATAATTCATATGAGCTCTGCACAGCGGAGCTCCTATGACTGAAAGTTCAGTCATTTAGAGAAATTAATTGTCCATATTTTCTGAGTAGAAGCGCACTCTTTTAAGCCCCGTTCTCACATAGCCGGTTGAAGGGCCGGAAGTCCCGGAAACGCCAAGCCGGTTGATATGCCGGATTCATAGCCGGTATATGGGGCAGGGCGTAATATGCAAGGGGCAGGGCTTAATATGTAATGCCCTCCAGTTAGCTGTCCCGTAAGAGCCGGTAGGTTTCCCGGAAGAGCCGGATATTCGGGAGATCCGGCTTCAGTAGCCGGGATATCCTGCAATACCGGCTGTCAACGTATTCCCTGTACTCCCGGGAGCCTGCCGGAAGTCCCGTATGCCTCCCGGATTTCAAGGTAGATCGCCGGAATTCCCGGAAAAAAAACGGTAAAACAGCAGGTAGAGCCGTTTGAGCAGTAAGAACTGCCGTAAAACCAGGGTAGGCCCGGCTTTTTTCCCGGTATTCCAGGTAAGTTATGCAAATTTAGGCCCGCCCCCTTTCAATAAAAGCTTTCAATGTTCAATGAAAAATTCCCCTATTTAATTTAATACCTTTTCCACAATATTCAGATCTAAAGTAAATGGGGACAGGTATTATAAGTTTAAAAAGTATATTAAAATGTTTAAGGAACTTTATTGAAAAAGGACAACTTGTCGGAAAGTAAAAGCAAAAATGTGTATCAGCTTCAGTTAAAAAATTGGATTCATCTTTAACACAAAATTATTTCAGAAAGTATTTACAAAATTATTTCAGACAATTATTTCAGAAAGTGTTTACAAAAAAGAAAATGGTGATAATGTTTCATTTAATTAATCACACCCCATTTATTGTTACATTGTGTTTACAATATATAAACATGCATACCGGTATATCTAATGCAAATTTGCAAAGTTTAATCAGCAGACATGAAAGAAATGTTAATAATTAACAAAACTTGCACAGAAATGAGAAAAAGTACATCATTTTAACAGCAGATAGTATTAAATATGAACAATTGACAATGCATTTGCAAAAAAATATAAGAAAGTACAAAGTTGAAACAGCACATAGGCTGAAAATGTGAATAAGTGACGATGCTTTCGCACAAAAAAAAATTTTTGGGACGATTCCACCCCTCCTGTACCCCAGGATGGTCCCCCGGCCGTGCCGGTTGAGTTCTCACATAGCATCGGAGGAGCAGGTTGGCTCCCGGATTTTTATGGTTCCGGGCGTACCGGCAAAATTATTCAACATGTTGAATAATTTTTCCGACCAAGCCGGATTATGGCCACGCCCTCCAGGAACTCTAGGAACTCCCGGATCTCATTTCCCGGATCTCCAGTTTGATAACCGGTACCCCAGGAATCGATTCCGGGTGTCTTCCGGCCCTTTAACCGGCTATGTGAGAACGGGGCATTACCCACCGCACAAGCAGGAGCGGATGTAGCAATGATACGCCCTGTTGCCGCAACAAATTTGGTCGCTGTTCAGGATGACCTACACATTAGAAATAAATGCATAGCAATTAGGACCATGTTTAACTTATTTATTCCGTATTCTCATAAGAAGTATTGAAAAGACTCATCCGATTTAAGAAAATCGATCCGATTTTGTTAAATACGCCATATAACTAACACCAAAACGTAGAATTGACTAGAATTTTTTTCCAGTTTCATTGTTTAAACTTGGTTTAAACGTCCAATATTCAGTTCTTGCGAAAATGACATATGAGCCTCGCACAACTATTTGTTTTCGAGAGCTTGCACGGCTTCAGCTTGAATAATTTGTTCGGCATTACTTTCGTACTAGATATGTTGTTGATCCTTCTACACCATTGGGCACAAGATGGCAACCTTATAATCTTGTTATTTGTGGAGGTGTAATTTCATTACGGTCGTCTTCTCCGCTGGACCCTTGAGCAGGGAGTCAAATTTAGTGAAAGGCTCTTCTATAAGGCAGTCACTGTCTGCAAATTGTTGTTTTTTTAGAGATGGGTTCTTGTTGCGATAGGGGAAATTTTTGAGTGAATTACCACACTTATTGACAGTGATAATATGGCAGAAACGACTAAACTAAGACTCGTGGAATTCATCCAGTACTTTTGTCATTGTAAAGTAAAAATATCATTATGTTAGGGGGAAATGTTCGGTTGAATTGCTTAATTTATATATAGTAATTCTATTGCAGATCGACTAAGTTGCGCTCATAAATTCACACTGCAAATTGATTATGTGAAGCGAATGAATTTTTGGGGTATTCTGGAGTCGAATTATCACAGTTATCGAGAGCAATTCTATTTGAGGAATGACTGAATTGAAATATGATTTCAATCTCTGAAAATTTCTGAAAATGACTGACTCGACAAATTAGGGAAGGAAGAAAATCCAACTTGAATTACTACAGATAAAGGCGGTAATCATATTTCACAATTGGCAGAATGGACACTCGAGAAATTCATACTTCATTTTCTCCGTTGTAAAGTGAATAAATTTTTTAGATTATGGTGAAATATCGGATTGAATGACCACTGGCATTGACATTGATGGCTTTAGTAAATATTCTGATGTCTTTAACGTCAAAATATATTTTTTCAAAAATTATGAGGAGAACAATGAATGTTTTTAAATGCTTGCACTATAACGAGTAACTGCGGCGAATGAACTTGGATCTCAACCAAGCCACATAATATACCGTATTTATAAATATATTCAAATTTGAAACTTTCACATAGATTATTATAATTCCAGAAAAGATATTTTATTTGTTTAAAACAAACACCATTAGGTAATTAGCAAATAACTATCGCAAATAAACTTGAATTTCCTCTAAAAAAAAGTAGGAAATTCAACACCTGCGCAGTGGCTGTAACTATTTATGCTTTATGTTTACAGTCCTCTATGAATTAATAATTAACCAATTACAGCCTGGAACGAACTTGGATCTCCACCAAACTCGAGATTTGTGAAAATTTTACACCTGCTTATAGTGGCTGTGAAGATTCCAATGATGTGAAATAAGTCGATACAGGCAATTATATTGATAGCATATTTAAAAACCTTCATCGATATTTGTAACAAAAACACCTATTATGTAGTTTCATACATATAAATAAGTCCTCTCAGGCTCTCACTCGCTCTACAGTAATTTAGGACTTATCAAGATGACATTAAAAACGACCACCAGAAATCGCTTTCTTATCAAAGTCCATTCTGTGATTTTTGCCACCGCTTCTACTATTTTTTTTTTTTTTGCTATATTTTTTCCTTACTATTCACAAAATTGCTGGAGAAATTAACTTCACAGAGGTTTTTCGAAGCTATTTCAAATTATCCCTACCTAAACTGTAAAATTAACTTCATTTTAATTTAGGTATGAATCTAACTTGTGTACTGTATTGTCAGAGTGAATAATAGAAAAACACATTAGTCCTAAAAATGACCTGTAATTTCTTGATAATATTAAGGTACATTATGCTTTTTGAGACTATGATGTCACTTATGATGTGTATCTGCGTAAACCTACTTAAGAGCCAATACAACGATTTCAAATGAATTAGTCTTAAATAAAATTCGAATAGGCTTTTCATGGCAGGCTTTTTTCGAGTAATCTGTTGATATTTTGATTCCTGAAATAGACAAAGATCTTAACATGGACTCTTTTAACATACTTAACAAAGTCTGATTATAATAAATATTCAAACGCTCCTGGTATGTATTATTTTTAAACAGATAGTTCACTCACATAATTTTATACATGTGTTTTAAAACTTACTGATTTAACAAGGAAATTTCCTGTGTTTAGAAATTTAAAATTTTTTAGTTCAGAAATGATTGAGTCGATTAATCGGCTCATCACCGTTTAAGAAAGGTTACTGATCAGTTAATCACTGTTTAAAAAATGCTGATAATCAGATAACCCACATACTATAACTATCACATCCACTCAACGGATATAATATTATCATACTTATTAACTTTGGTTAAGATTTGATGTCGTGAGATTCATGCATCGGGTAATTGTTTATCGCGGAATGGTTGAATCTAAACAAAACTAAGATTTAGTTTTGAATAATTTTGAATACTTTCAAATTTTCGGGTCATGGTCCCTAATCGCTCTGTGCCTTGTATGGTTTGGGTGACGCCTGGGGTACTTCTAACGTTAACATTTCGACCATGCAACTTCACTTCACGCCCCCTATCAAGAATTTCAGGCAGTTCGTTGCATAACTCCGCAACATTAACTCGCAGGGTGCTGCGGTATCTCATCCCTACCTCGTTTTGTGCCACCATGAAGCACAAAGATACCCAGTGGTGATGTTCAGCCCCTGCTCTTCTGTTGAACACGTGGAGTAAAGCTTTTATTGGAAGCCCTGCCTGAGCTCGATTGGAACTATGGACTTGAGCACCTGTGTCGTCTGCTCTACGACAAACCTCCACAGCCCATTGGTTCCTCGCTGCGGCTACCACAACATGACCCAGGCAACCTTCCTCTGCGTGGGTGTGGACTAGCCCCGGCACCAACTCAGCACCAGCAATCCATGTACCGGTAATGATTATTTAGTATTTCAGGT